TTTTGTTTAGCCTGAATAATTAAAGCTTGACCTCTATGTGAATGTCTTCAGAACTCTGGCTAAGTACAGTTGAACCAGACATGCCATCTACTGGGAAGAGCATCAAGTATGGGTAGAAAACAGAGCTGCAATAAAAAGTAATGAGCAGGCTGGGCGTGGTGGCTCACACCTGTAATCCTAGCACTTTGGGAAGCCGAGGCGGGTGGTTCACGAGGTCAGGAGATTGAGACCATTCTGGCTAACACAGTGAAACCCCGTCTCTACTAAAAATACAAAAAAAAAGAAAAAAATTAGCCAGGCGTGGTGGCGGGCACCTATAGTCCCAGCTACTCAGGAGGCTGTGGCAGGTGAATGGCATCAACCTGGGAGCCAGAGCTTGCAGTGAGCCGACATCGCACCACTGCACTCCAGCCTGGGCAATAGACCGAGAGTCCGTCTCAAAAAAAAAAAAAAAAAGACGTAATGAGAAGTAGATGGTGGTGATGGCTGCACAACAATGAGACTGTACTTAATGCTGCTGAATTGTACACTTAAAGAGTAACTTTTATGTGTATTTTACCACAATTTCTATAAAAGTAATGAGCAGTATTAAAAAATGTTAGAGAATAGTAGAAATTAATATTAGTAATTAATACCATTATATTCATAACATATTTTCATTATAATGCTAATAAATACTGATACAATGCTTACTATATGCCAATACTATTCTAATCATAGAATTATAGACTTTGTCACTATTTCTCCCAGACTATTCATAAAAGAAAAGCTTTTTAAACATTTTTACTTGTCATATCTGTAAACAAGGTTGCCACATTCCAGACTTTCAGAAAGCCTTTGTAATCAGCAGGAAGGAACTTCAATACAAGGTGGAGATAACCAAAATGGTAAAGCCGTTACCAAATTTCCTGGCAATAAAAAGCAGGTGGGGTGTGATATTAACTGCACATCATTCCTAAGACATTGAGAAGCTTCTTCTAAGTGTAAAACATGAAAGTACAGACAAATTGGAGGTGGTTTAGATGTGGACCACTGGTAAAAATAAAACCATCGCATAAGAACTTTAAACTCTTGTAATTGTCCAAACATCCTCAATGATCGTCTCATGTCTCCATTAGTCAATTTCTCATATACAACAGACTTTTACCCGTCTTCTCCCCCATCCAGTGCCATTCTCCTATCACCCTAAGCAAGTCAGAATCCTGTTCCTCATGGGCGTCTTCAATAGCATTTCCAAAGGTGACTCACTTTTAATCTGGTCACTACCATCTATAATTCACAATTTGGAGATTAGGGATATATATTGTATCTGTTTTTGTCTCTTTCCCCACCCTCAGGTCATCAGTTCTACCCAGGTAACTCTTATTTCTTTTGACCTTGCACATACACTGGATTTATGGGCATGGTACAGAAGATGGAGGGAGGTGGATAAGTCATTATTAGGCTGTATAGAGAGGGTAGGGAAAATGAGTAGGTATGTCAGAGAAAGCTTAACCGGGTCCTGAATTTGAGCATAAAGCTCTTATTCATCCTGGTTTTTACTGATCCTTATCCCACTCTTCTCTTCTTTGGAATTCTGCACAGGTTGTCTTCATACACATCTAATATCATATCATCCAGGTTAAATCATCTCCAAAAGTTTTCACAGTCTGATTCCATCCCATTAAGGCTACTCATCTAATTGTCTTTTTCTTTACTACTCAGGGTGTAATCTGTTAGGCTTAATAGGCTCATAGTCTCTATTTACTTCTTATGTTTGTCTTCTCTATGCAACTAGATGATGTATTTGAATAAGCCGGAGAAGTGTCTTTTATTTCCTTTATATACTCTCCCCTACAATGCCTGTCATAGTGGTTTGTTGTGTAGATAGAATGAGCTTAATACTTTTTAAAAAATTGAAATGATGGCACATGTAGAGAGATTAATATCAAGTTTTCTTTACTTATACCAAATACAAAATACATGTATATGTTTTGGTGGGGACAGTTCATACAAGTCAGAGATAATAAAATCTTAAAGCTCTGTAGTCTCTCCCAACAATTTAAGTACTTGGATATGAAAAACGTTGTTATCTGGGCATTGACCGTGTAAATATCATTCCACGCATAATCATTTTGTCTTTGTCCACAGCTTTCCCTATCTCTAGGCTATGAGAATATATGAACTTGGGAGAATTTTCCCTAAAATACTTCTCCATTAGGAAAAAAAAATAAGAAAAATGCTAACATGGAACTATCAGATATTTTTAACTATGTGTTAGGCCCACTGCATTAGGGCATATACCAGTATTTTGTAAAACCAAAATTCACTGCCTAGTGAATTGTTCCTTCCTGGTCTGTCCAGAGAAGTAAATGGTGAAATATTCATGGCTCTTGGGAACATCCAAGCTATTTGGTAAGAGCTTTTCCCTAGGTTTGCCAAAATGGCCCTGAACTCAAAATATGATGTTTATTCAAAATGATTATAAAAATGGCATGAACTTTGTTATTTATTTTAATAACTTGAAAGAATTCTGGAGAAATAATTTCATGTTTCTTCTAGTCCTTTCATATTTTTGATAATTCACAGCTATTCTTTTCCAACTTGCAATTAGAATGACTAATAATGTTTAGAATTTTATCTGCTGGTTTCTCTTAAGTCATGATTCTACCATGAGTCATTTAACTTCTTTCCATAACACCCAGTTATAACAAACAGTGGATTATGTCACTGAAGGTGTACTATGTAGCCAAAGTTGTAATTTCATCTAAGTAACTTTGGAGAGAGAAATAAAAAGTGGAAATTCTTTTTCATTTCAAAATAAGAGGGGTTTTAATATTTCTACACAGCATCAGATAATAGCCCCAAGCAAAGATATTATTGATCCCCAAACAAGTATTTTCCAGATCAATTAATATTCATGTCTATCTGTCTGAGCAATGGATTAGAAACTTTATAATTTTCATTTTATGGAAGAGAAACCAGACTAAAAGGCTAGGGGTATGATCATTTGGTTTCTGGTTTCAGTTCTGACACTAACAAGCAATATCCTTGGGTAACTTGCTTAATCTTTGGGACCTTATTTTTCTCAAGTAGAGGATAACAAAGCTGGATCTCATGCTCCATTCTCATCTCTTCCCTACCCCCATTATTTCATATGATTTTTCTTGTCCCTATTATACCTTAGTAAATTCTAGATAAAGAGAGATCCTCCCCAATTTCACAGTAGAGAAGCCCAGGACTAGCTGTATAATTTGTGGGGCTCATTGCAAAATGGAAATGTTGAATTCCTTCTTAAAAAATAAAGAATTTCAAGAGGGTAATTGCAAAGCATTAATTAAGCATGTGGTCCTTCTGAGCATGAAACCCTTTGCAACCGAACAGATCACACACATCCATGAGGCTGGCCCTGTAGAAAACAAAGAAATGTTTCCCCTACCTTCCAACATTCTGTTTTGCTCTTAACAGAATGGAAATCTTAGAAATGTTGATAGGACAATGATATGAATCATGAAAAGAAAGAATAGTGGGAATACAAGTATTAGAAAGCCAATGTTTTGTGGGTGTTTGAAACTCTCATATACATTCATAGGGCTTACCCCACTGGTATGTGCAACAGGCAACTGGTAGTTTCTAAAGATGCTCCCAGTGAATTATGCCTCCTGGTATGTGGTCCTTATGCAGTTCCCTTCTACGCTGAATCTAGACTGCCCTGTAATTCATGTTCACAACAAATAGAATGCAGCAAAAGTGAAGCCCTGTGTCCCAGAGATTCTGGTACGTTGTCTCTTTGTTCTCATTGGTTTTACAGAACTTATTTATTTCTGCCTTAATTTCATTATTTACCCAGAAGTCATTCAGGAGCAGGTTGTTCAGTTTTCATGTACTTGTGTGGTTTTGAGTGAGTTTCTTAATCCTGAGTTCTAATTTGATTACACTGTGGTCTGAGAGATTGTTATGAATTCCACTGATAAAATTGTATATGTTTATGGTATACATAACATTTTGATATATGTACACATAATGGGATGACTAAATCAAGCTAAGTAACATATCCATAATCTCACATAAATTTTTTTTGGTTGCTCTTTTAACACTAAGTTTTGGGGTGTTTTAGTTCAGACAGCCTCATCAATGACTGTCTATCTCATGTGACTTTAAGTCTAAAGGTTCTCCAGTTGTGCAATATCTACAGGATCACTGAATGCCAAGTCCCCAGGGAAAGGAATGATGAAAGGGGAAGTTGCTGGAAGAGAGAGGAGGAAGTTGAGGCCATAGAGAGGAGGGCCCTGAAAGAAAATGTTAACTGCTTGCCAGTTTGACCAGAGGTCTGTTCCAGCAGAAACAACTGCGTTTAGACCAGCAGTTCCCATGCTCTGTTTTACAGGTCTGAGCTTTCCCGTAAGTGAACTTATGTTTTGAAACTGTGTGCCATGTAGTACCAGCTAGAATAAAGCCAACATTACACATTCAGTTCTACCATGGTTATTTTAGTTCTGCTCCATATATAATGACCACCAACCTTGAATATCAATGTGTGCAGTCCCTAGGGAGAACAGGACAGATTCACAATTTCAATTGGGCTACTGGAAACATGCTTGGCTATTTCCTTCCTCATGGAAAGTCAGAAAAAAGCATTGTTATGTAGGAAAGACAGGATATTTTAAGTACCTATTTCATTTGATAATATTGTTTTTCTCTTCACTGTCAAGAAAAACCATTAAAAAACCATGTCTTTGTTTCCTTTGCTGTTAAATCATAGTTAAAGAAAAATGTAGAAATGAAAGTTATCCAGGTCTATCAATTATTATTTAAAGTAATATGTTTTATTAATATGTATAGGATTTAAAAGAGTTATAATGAAGCATTTTAACCACATAAATATTACTTCATAGCATTTTTAATAACTAAGAAAGATAAGCCCTTTTCTTGTTGGTTCTTGATATTTTCCTATCTGTATTCAAATTAATGCAGAACTAATAGCCATTATCTTACTGGTAGCAAGGAGACACATTATAAAAGCTTCTTGTATAAAATTTTATTCACTAATAGAAAAAAAGAGAAATAGTGGAAAACTGTTAACATTTAACACAGTGTAAATACATTGCCCATTCTAAATGGTTTGAGGTCTTAAAGACCCTCTTCCAGGGGTTTTTGAATATTCAGTTCTAGTAAACATCACAGCCAAAGAGTTCCAGGCGAAGTGCAATACTTTGATTCCATGTTTTAGGAATGACACGGATAAACCTGGAAATGATTGGGGGGTTGAAAAAGTTCTTCACATGTCCTTTGGTATTAGTATTTCCTTCAAAAATCTGAAAGCAAAATAAGAGAAAATCTTTAATGACAGCATAAATGGAAACAAAAATCTTACAGATAAGTTTGGTTTTTTTTTAGACAAGGTCTTATTCTGTTGCCCAGGCTTGAGTCCAGTGGCACAATCATGGCTCACACAATCATGGCTCACTGCAGCCTTGAACTCCTGGGCTCAAGTAATCCTCTCTCCTCAGCCTTCCAAAGTGTTGGCATTGCAGGCAGGAGCCATCACGCCCAACCCAGATAATTTTTTATCCTATTAGCTCAAAATGAGCATATCAAAGAACACATAGAACACTATCACAGAGATGATCCTCCATCAGTTATGAAATCACATGCCAGATAGATTTCATCTCACCAGTGATCTGAGTTAAATTGGGGAAAAATCAACAAGTCTCATGTGGTGCTGTGGAGCAGCTGCAAAACCATTTCTGCCTTCAGCCCCTTTGTATTAGCTGTATGACTGAACAAGTTACTTGTTTTCTGATTCTTCATTTCCTCATCGGCAGAGTAAGGATAATAAAATTTCACTTCACAGAAGTCATTGCAAAGATTTAAAAATATATGTAAAGGTAAGTGCGTAGTAAGTGCCAGGAAGTGGCCACCAATAAATGGTTAACTATTGCCAACATTTAAAATTTGACCAGGCATTTTAACTTATTTATCCTTGTTGGCATGTACCTTATATCCTCAACTAAATTGTATAATTTCTCCTCCTCCATCATCAGCAAGTTCTCCAAGGTTTACATACACCAGAAATGAAATCTCTATTTTTTTATGACAATGATATTTATCCTCCTATGGGGGCAACCTGGTGTAGTGAGAAATAAAACAAACCAAAACAGACAACCAGGAGTTTGTCTGACAACAGGCACCTGAAGAACTAAGATTCAGAAGACTTAAAGAGGTGGTACATGTCAGATGCCACTCTACCTTGTCCACCATGGAGGATTTCAGCCGGTACGGTTTCCATTCCACTCCCTGGTCACTGTAGTGGATGGTATAGCTCTTTACATACATTTCAGAGGACAGAGACTTGCAGCCCTGTGTTGTAATTGCTGTTATCTTCTTGATCTTGAGTAGATCAATTTCTAGCCACTGCTTGTTGTTGTTTGCCTATGAAAATGACAAAAACACATAAATAAGGAAGATGTTAAAACCTTTGCTTTTTTTTTTGACCAAGATATGCAAAAAAGCACAGAGCTCAAAAGGATTTTGTTCGATCTTATCCCTTAGGATTCACTGTCTCCTAGAAGCTTTCCCTCTTTCTTCTTTGTTGCCACAATATGTGTATAAATTTCTATTGAAGTATTTCACATATTGTACTATAATTGTTTCCTTCTTAGTATTCCTTACTGCTTGAGGGTAGAGGCTTATTTAATTTTGTTTCCTGTTACTCACCACAATGTTAAGATACCCAGTTGGTGTTCAATAAATAGTTGTTGAATAAATGAATGAATACATGAGTTTTATTTGGAAAAATTATTACATTTCTAAGTTATCTGTAAACATTATTTTCTTAAGCAAATTTATTCAAATACTCTGGTAATATTGCTACAGGGTTATCTGGGAAATAATTGGATAGCATCCTCTCTCTATTTCACCTATTTTACAAAACCCAACTTCTCTTTTCCCCTGTTAATGTCAAATAGCAGAAACAGTTCAATTTCTTCTGATATTTCAAATAAATGTAATATTTGAGAGACCTGATAAAACAATAAGTAGAGCTTGATACACAGTACAGTTATTGTCCTGTCTCCGGCCTAACAAAATGCCTAATCACATGGTTGGTGATATGCGTTTGGAGAAAGATCAAAAGGTCTAAACTGAGTTTTAGAGTAATCTGAGATAAATTTTTACCTTTGGGAGATTTGTCATCTACCATAGCCTCATTCAATTATAAAGGAAATAATATTGATATGTTTCTTCAACATCACCCACACATACTTAGGTGTATGTGTATATATATGTGTATGTGTATATACAAAAATGCACATGCTATATGTATTTTAAAAGCAAATTAACTGAATTAGAATGATTATATGAGAAAACTTTTAAGTCTATAACATCCTCTAGCGACATCTGGGTGATATTTTAGTGTGTCTTCAAATCAAGGTTGTACCAGTGATACAGAGTATAACCAGCTGGAAGTTTTCACAGGCATAAAAGAGGTAGAGACATTTTAGTTACAGAGAGAACAGCATCTGTGCGCATCCCTGCGTATGTCCAGCTTTGATTTTCAACGTCTCCAAAGAGACCATATAAAGACATTTCATGTGAGTGGAAGGGGGTTAAGTAAAACACGTATTTCTGATCCCGAATTCTAACTTTGAAATAACAGCATTAAAAATTAGCATTTTATCTTTGAGGCCTTTGTTATATTACAAAGACTAAGAGCAAATTATAGAGAGTGCAAATGTTTTTAAAAGATTGTAAAATGAAGTATGGGGTGACAAGGTTAAACCATGAACAAGTCTAAAGAGTCATCTGAAAAAGAACTGGATAACATCTCTTTAATTATTATTTATATTGCTATGTAAATTATATAAATATAATGTAATATAACACTATTTTTATTATTTTAACTTCTCTGGGTATCAGCTTTGCCCTCTACAAAATTGCAAAACGAGGTATTTGGGCTGCTACAAATGGTGGAAGGCGCATGGCCTGTTTACTGGGAGAATGGGATTCTAGTCCTGATTCTGCTACCAAACTAAGCTAAAATTATTTAATCTCCTGTGTGTTTAGACTTAAAAGGAAAAATCTAGACCAGATGCTTTGCTCCTTGCTACTGTAACATTCTGTGATTCCGTGATTCCAGAATGAGTTTCAAGACACAGATATCAGTTCCCAAGACTGTGTGGAATCCAATCTTTTCTATTTACCCCACTAGCACCACAAGTCTTTTTTCCTTTCTGGTGGCCTAATTTAAGGATAGGTCCTGGAATTCTATAGAAAGTCAGGAAATTGGAGTGTAGGTATCTTAAGGGAGGGAGATATGAGGGTAGAAAGTAGGGAATTTGGATTTAGTTGGCTGAAGGGATCATCAAGTTATCCATGCCATTCTGATATCTCAGGTCATTTAAAGAATTAATAAAAATGAGTCAACTACTAAGAGTTACCCCAAAATTAAATCACCTGAATTACTCAGTGGGCTAATATCAGGGGTACTATAACTCTCTGGAAGGTGTTTGTTTAACTTAGATCACTGATTTTATAACTCTGGTTTTGCAACATTTTACTATGCTTCTAGTTGTCTCAATAAATATCACAAAGCTCTTAAAATAAGGAGGGTGAGGAAGAGAATAAAAAAGTTTAAATGACATTTCATTTAAGACAATGAAAACATATTGCTAAATTGTAAAGAAAAAAATAAGAGATGATGTTGCAAATATAAATCATTTGTTTATCACTAATGTAAGCTGTCTAAATGAGGAGTTGGCAAACTATGATCCATGGGTCAAATTTGGCCCACTGCCTGTTTTTTTGTAAACAAAGTTTTATTAGAACACAGCCAGGTCATTCATTTACATGTTGTTTATGGCTACTTTCCTGCTACAATGGCAGAGTTGAGTAGTTATGGCAGAGAATGTATGGCCCACAAAGACTAAAATATTTACTATCTATCCCTTTGCAGCAAAATAAATTTGCTTAGTATTGGTTTAAATCAAGACTAGACCAAAACCCACAGAGATGATAGATGACTTTTCTCTGAGCCAGAGTTATAGTCGAAGCTATCAAGTCCACAGACATCCTAGACTCTTGGACCTAGGATTTTAATCTGCAGAAACAGATTAAAATACTCCTGCTTCCAAGATCCTCATGTTCATGGTAGTGAGGGCCTTTGCATTCTTTTGGAGTGCTAAGAGAACACCATGCATAGAGTATACTTCACCTTGGCTTGCCAGGCATTCACACGTCCCTGGGCATTCAGACGGGCACGGAAGGGTTCCCAGTAATCTCCCCACCAAGATTTTTTAAACGAAGAAGCTGTGATTTGCTTGTTTCCTATCTTTCCATTTTCCATACCCAGCGGTGTGGAACATCCTATCAAAAGAAAAGTAATGTGATTAATTATACACCAATATTCCCTGCATGGCACTTTGCACTGCAGAGGAGATAACAAATAATATTACTACCAACGAATGACAAAAACAATAATCACAAAAATGAAGATTCATTGAATCCAAGTGCCAAATACTGTTCTCAGGATTTACATGTATTATTTAATGCTCATAAATATCTCCATTTTAGTACAGCAAAACACAGTAATTTGTCTAAGGTAACACAGCCAGAAGAATCAGAAACTGAACTGAACTCAGACAATCTGATACCAAACACCATGTTCTAAACATTTAAACTCATTTCCTCCTTCTGAGAGTCATGGAAACTTTGGTCTTTGCTTTGAGGTGACAATAATCCTAAACTATCTATATATAAAAACACGCTGTTTCTTCTAACAAAAGCTACAAAGAAGATGCAATGGACCCTCATTCACTATTTAATATTTTCTGTTTCAACCCTTAGAGGGTAATTCAAGTTATGTACTCTTTGGAATTTTTCCAAGGTGTAATTTGAATATCATAGGCAGCAAGGCAGACCTGTGACTGTAAGAAACACAGCTAGTGAGTGAACCTGGCTGACTGCCCATCATCTCTGTGACACCTTGTTCTTGTTGGTAAATCATGCAGAAATTTTCTTGAAGTAATGCCTTACTTACTCCATGAAAAAAAAAAAAAAAGAGCCCTAAAAATAATACCCGCTGCTAATAATTACCTAAGTATCAAGAAAATGAATAAGAAGAAAATAATGCTTCTTGTATAAAAAATAGATATTTTAAATAAATCAGCTGAGTTGAATGTCACATTTTAGGGTAGTTTATTAGGATCTGAACAAATCTATTTATACCATATGGAAAGAAAAAACCACAATGACTTATGGAACTGTTTCAAGGGGTGGTCCTGCTGATACAAGATTTGTGTTTTATTTGGGAGATGTTATAGGCTACTGCTATCTCGACATCAGCAAAATACCCTTATCCATCCAAGAGTATACTGTGCCATTATCTGCTTCAATAAGAAACCGATTCCAGGGTTCTGCTACTTTCTCCAGTGTAAATCATGGCTTCTTCTCTCCACCCAAAGGGAAGTACTGCAACTCCCGACAGGTGTGCCACAGCAGGTGTCTAGTGTGCCAGTTTATTTATCCCTCTTCCCACCTCCAGCCCTTGAACAGTCAAGTGGGGCCTGGATCAGTCAAGCCTTAGGATTATTACTTCATTCTTTTACCTCAGAATGCCAGGCAGATATTATTTTCTTTGTGTGGTTTGAAGTAAAAAATATTGGAAAGCACTGCTTGAAGAATCCAAGAACAGTTAAGACTCTTAAACATCCTTGTTACATATAGCAGAATTTTAATATGACTATTTATGAATACCTGGATTTATTTATACAACAGGTCACATTACAGCCCCTATGAAATAGCAGCTAACATACAAAAGACTTGAGTACCTACACAGGGTATTAAAGAAAATATAAAGATGAATCGTGGTTTCAGGAAGTTGGGAAGCCGATTCAGATTTCAAAAACACTCATTGAACACCACATATATGGCAGTGATGTTGCCAGATGCTGTCATGAGTTTGAAGTCTGAGTGACCTGGAGGACTTTGGAAGAGTCAGGCCTAGTTTGAATCTCAGGTAGGTCATATTGAAAATGGACTGATGGAGATAATTCCAAATTAGAGCCCTTCCTTGGAGAGTTGTGATGTGTCTACATAATCCAGGCACTTTCTTCAGAGAAATGTTGTTGGCCCTCTGATTGGCAGAACCATTCTTGGTCTAGATCACACCGAGAGTTTACCCGAGTAGAACCTCTGTTTCATAAAGGTTTTCCTAGGAGCCTAAATCACTGAAGAGAACTGAAAATTTTACTCAATCTCCTATACCTCCCAAATCTTGATTCTTTGTGTGACAGTGAGAAAATAATGCATCTTTGTACCTTACCATTTACCTCACAACCTTGCAACTCCAATCGAAGGGTAGGTCTGTTATAGGCTCGAGTTGGAGAGATCCTAATATATCTAGCCACAATAGGTGGGTCAAACTGATTCTCTTTTATTGTAGAGGCATCTGAATTGCCATTAAAATACTAGAAGAAAAGAGGAAAGTTTAGTTATGTAACAGTGATCTATAAAGTGACTTTATAATAAAATTTTCATCTACTTTAATATTGTAATACTACATTTTCATGGGGCCTGAACTAAATCCATTTGGTTATAAAATATACATGGGGATAATTCCACTTCCAGGAATATTGTATATATGTACTTTGCCCTATTACTCCTGGTAAGTACAACTAAAAACTTTGGACATTATAGCTAAGAGAAACCTAAGAAGGGGAAACATCTTTTCAGGGGAAAAGAGCTCAGAAGACAGACTGACTAGAGTTCTTGGAAGGAACAAAATGGTGGTGAGTGTCCTGAATTTTCTTTTTGCCTCATACATCCCAGACTTAGAGATGAAGAAACCAGGAGCCTGGAAACACCAATGAGTACAGACTGAAAAAGCCCAAATAAAATCTGCTTTCTCTAACCAAAGTACCAGTAAAGGGAAGCCTAGCAAGATATAATAGAAAACTTGTGGATACTGACTTCTCTCCTTTAGCCAAACACCACAGAAAAACCTGAGGCCCCTCCCCAACCCACAACAGCAAAGGCTGAATGGGAAGCCTAGACTTCCATGCTCATGAGGCTAAAGAGGCACCCCAACACTCTTACTGGGGTTGTGTCAGAAAAGGCCATGTAAGGATTTAGGGCATTCATCTCCAGCCCCTAATAAAGCTCCTGCCCCTGAGTATCAGCGGAGGCCAAATGGGGAACTCCTGTTCCCACCCAGTCACCAAGGAACAATCCCTTCTTAGGTGGCAGTGGAGTGAGGAAACTGGACTTTGACCCCCACTTGGCAGTAACCAGGCTGTGCCCTATCCCTTTTCCTGACAGAGCAATGTCGGAAAAAGCCAACTTTTTAAAACAGAAGATTGGAGCAGGTATTGGTAATATTGAAAACAGAAAAACAATAGAGAAAAATCAACAAAACAGGGCTGAGAAGATTTTTTTTTTTGAGACAGAGTCTCACTCTGCCACCAGGCTGGAGTGCAGTGGTGAGATCTTGGCTCACTGCAACCTCTGCCTCCCAGATTCAAGCAATACTTCTGCTTCAGCCTCCCAAGTAGCTGGGATTACAGTTGTGTGCCACCATGCCTAATGTTTTAAAATATTTTTAGTAGAGGGTTTCACCATGTTGGTCAGAATGATCTTGATCGCTTGACCTCGTGATCTGCCTGCCTCAGCCTCCCAAAGTGCTGGGATTACAGGCGTGAGCCACTGCACCTGGCCAAGAAGATTTTTTTTAAATCGACAAATCTCTAGCAAGATTCACAAAAAAAAAAAAAAAAAAAGAAAGAAAGGAGATGCAGTTGACAGTATCAGAGATGAAACAGGCAAAATCACTACAAACATGGAAAAGGATAAGGGAATATACAAACAACTCTACACACATAAACTTAACAACACAGAGGGAATTGACCAATTAATTGAAATATACAAAGTATTTCAATTCACCTAATATGACATAGATAATTTGAATAGCCCTGTAACTATTTAAAACATAGAATTCATAACTTAAAAACTGCCCAAAAAGAAATCTGCAGGCCCAGATGGTTTCACTGGTGATTCCTACCAAATATTTAAAGAATTAATACCAACTGCAGACATTTTCTCCTAGAATGTAGAAAAGACAAGCTTACCAATTTTATGAAGCCAGAATATAGAATAGAAGAGCATGCTTACCAATTTTATGAAGCTAGTATAACTGTGGTATCAAAAGACACTTAAAAAAATAAAGCTACATACCAATATCCTCTCATGAATATAGATGACAAAATTTTTATGCTATGGACTCAACTGCAATCTGTGTTTTCTCTCATAATACTCATTAGTAAGAACCATAATTTAGGATTTCAATGGTGCTGAGACATATTATAAATAATTATTAAAAATAGGTAACTAATAAACAGTAAACAATTTTATATAAAATATGAGCAGAAACAGACTCCAGATTATCGGTATAATAATGGCAGGCAGACTCCTTGCATTCAGGTAGGTTTCTTTGGGGAAAGGAATAGAGACGGGGAGAAGAGTTAGGGCTTCTGGCTGAGCCCCTGGAAGAGCAAGAAGGAGGATGCCATTCTTCAGGCGTGGCCCCCGAAAAAGTCTGAGAATCACACTGCCTCAGAGGCTTACTAGCATTAACACTATGATTTACTTCAGGTACACTGAAATAAAGAACAAAACAAACTGCAATAGTAAAATCAAAAGTGTTGGTAGCCACTTTTTAGCATGAGCTCCTCGAGACACAAGACCAGATATTCTACTCTGCCATACACCATCGGCCAGTCTGAGAAATCTGGGTATTTTATTTGATGATAAAATGGTTTTTTAAAGTTTTGTGGGGTTTTGAAGTTTCAGTAACCCCGCTTCTCTCTTTAATTTGTAAGACACAGACCCATCATATTACTGCTTTTCTCCATATGACCCTTAGAAAGCCATTCACATTTGTAATACCCAGAAAGGTATTTTTTAAAATACATAATCATTAGGCATAGTCATAATACTCCTAGACTGAGTCTAGAGATTCAGATAGACATAGGCACACAAACCATCACATTCCTTGTGCTGTTCCCTTTGAAGATCTGCCAGTTGATCTGGTTGGAACTGTAAGCTACATAGAACTCTGTGGTATAGCAGGACTTCAGGTAGTGTTTGGCACCTTGGGTCTGGATCCCTGTGATTACGACTTCCTTTTGCATGTCCACCTGCAATATAGGAAAGCCAGTAAAAAGAACTGTCCTTGTCAACAAGTCACACACTGCCTAAATTCATTATACAATCAGCTTTCTCCAGAACGAAAGAGCTAGCACATAAGATCTTAGCAAACTGATACAATGACTACATGTAATCCATATTTGTGCACAGAGTACCTAGGTTTGAATCCCAACTCAATGACTAATTAGCTATGAGTTACTTTGGGAAGGCACTTAGTATCTCTGGGCCTTTTGTTTTTTAATCTATAAAACAAGATATTATTAGAACCAACCTCAGAGGGTTGATTTTAAGGACATAAAGTACTTAGAACGGTGCCTCACACTTAGTACTTGCTATTTCCCCTAACAACATTGCAAGAAAAATAACAAGAAGGAATTACTAAATCACTTTCATTTTTATTATTACAATAGCAGTAAATATTATCAGTCTATTAAACAAACCTGGATCCAAGGTTTAGAGGCCAATTCTGCTGCAAGTTTTTCTACACTCCAAGCATTATAAGATCCACCATTGTTTAGTCTTGCTAATCTGGGCTCCCAGTAACCTAAACTCAAGGGAAGAAAAATATTTATTCTGAATTTTTTCAAAACTCAGCAATTTCTCAAGTGAGTTTAATCCACTGGAAAACCAGATCCTTGGAGGACCTGTGTTGTAGTCAGAAGTCTAGGCATGGGCCTCAGCTACTAAGCCAGTCCTTGATGATGAAATCTGGGCTTCGGGTCTGTGTTTGGTCAGCTGCCAACCACCACCTATCCCCTTTCTTGCACACAGGTCATGTTTGGTTTTTTTTTCTGTTATGCTGATGTTCCTAATGCTGAATGTGCCTGCCTAACAGGAAGACATGGAAGGGGTATATGGGAGCCTGATCTTCCTCTTGATCATGACCTCTTGATCTCGGAAAGGGCTTACAGGCAGTGTGAGAAAACTTTGGAGGAGTTCCTGCCACATAGTGGAGGTTCAACAAAGTTTTCTGAACAGATGAATGGTTGCCACAGGCAAAGGGCCATATTAATGAGGACTATAATGCTTAGCTGATGAGACCCTGTGAATCTGGCTGACATACTACATGTGTGGTCAAACCCAGAAAAGGTGACCGAGAAGAGTTTGGAAATGAGCACGTGGTCATAAGAGTAAGCTATCTGATCCTTGCCAAATCCCTGCAGAGAGGCTGGGCTCTTTATGTAGAGAACTCAATGACCCCCAGCTATTGGTTTCTCCCGGAAAAGACTCTTTGGGAACATTATACACCAGAAGGGGTGGCAGTGTTAAGAGCACGCTAACAGGCCTTTAGCTCCTGTCACAGTGTTCCTTCCTTTACCATATGTGTACCCCAAATGGAGCTGTGTCACTATATTGTAGTAGAGAAAAGCATAAAGAGAAGAACTGATTCATAGATAGGTTGTCATGTATGGTTTCATAGGCTGCATGCTGCACAACTGTAGGAGGTTCCATTCACAGACCATGGTGCTACAACTTACCCAGAAATTCTGAAGCCTTGATCTGTGAATCAGATATGATACCAGTGCTTAGTCCCATTGGCATCTTACAGTCTATGAAAAACAGGAAAAAATGAATAATTTTTGCTTAGAAAATGTATATAATAAAGTAAAACTCCATGGTTAGGGATTATGTTTCTGACAGGTCAGTAATTAGATATTTTTACCTACCTTGCGTGACCCTGACTTAAATATATCTGATTATAAAATGGTAAATGCACTAACAAGACTGGTGCTTTAATAGATATAGTGGCATCCCAGAAGAAAACAACTGAAATCCTGAAATGCAATCATGTTTTAAACTGATTTTCTTCTGCTTTTATCTTAACTTTGCTATTTTACAACATTAAGTACTATCCATGGCTAGGTGCAGTGGCTCATGCCTGTAATCCTAGCACTCTGGGAGGCCGAGGGGGAGGATTACTTGAGGCCAGGAGTTTGACACCATCTTGGGCAACCTCTTCTCTACAAAAAAATTAAAATACAAAATACAAAAATATGAAAAAAAAAAAGTTCTAGCCCTCATGAGACTATGTTCTCAAAAGTTGACCTCAAAGTTACAAGATTATTTATATCCTGATTAAGGAAGGGATACCAGCCACTGTGTTACCTGGATGTTAGCACAGTGCTTCATACTCAACGGTGCTTAGTAATGACTTAAAGAATGGATGAATGGATGGACAGATGAAAACTGTGTTTCCTAAATGCTGAAATGTCAAGTTTAGTGACTCAGTCATTGTTAAATTCCTGTGACCTTTTCCCTCCTCAACTCTTGGAACCTGGAGAATTTCTTACATGCACTTGCCCATGGATCACAAATCATGAAGAAGGATGCTTTACGTAGGTTTCCCATTTGAGAGGAATGCTTTTGATCTGACTGCCGTGTTTTCAATGCAATCAGACCATGGACCAGAATAAAAGCAACTATGGCTACAAATTATGCCTTTGTCACATCAGAGTTCTTAGAGTTGAATATTTCCAATCTAAAAGTTGGTAATACTCTAGTAATAGGCACTCTCCTGCTAAACCAAATATCACATGGCTCTCGTGATACCTCTGTCCATAATAAGAAATGGCGTTTGCATCCCTGCTCTCTGGTTTTCTCCAACCTCTGTGTTTAGGAGCCACCAGCCAGGTTTTGATGCCTTCATTTCAAGAGTTTTAAATGAACCTAAAATAAAAAGAACAAGATTACATTTGCAAAAATTAACAAGTAAATATTGTGGTTGATAGTTCTCTACGAATCCTAAAATTCCTGCTTCACAAGAGACTTTCAAATAGAATTTAACCGTTTTTCTTTAGGTAGGACTACAAGTATAATAGATAAAAACAAAACAATAACAACACACACACAGAGATAACTAAAGAAATTTTAAAATCTCTACCATGCCTCACTAGAAGAAACTTTCACTTATCTAAATATAGTGTTACAAGTTAACTCACCCACAATACAGCTTCACAGTCCTAAGTATCAAAGTGACCTCGAATGACATCATTGGGCCTCAAAAATATCATACATGTTTCCTTTCCCTCTCTTCATTTTGCTTTTTTCTCTTTTTTATAAAAGAAAATCAAAATAAAATCTTCTTCTTCCATGTTTTCAAATTTTCCATAAAGCTTACATATGTTACTAGAGATTTACATAAATTGTTCAGAAAAAAACACTGAAAGAACGAGATTTCTAAAACCTCTGGCTATCCATTCTGGTATTTAACATTACCCCCTGGCAGTTAATATTTAAATTCTGTTGACTATAATTTATGACTCCCAGATTGTGGGTGAAAATGAATAGATACGGTTATCTTCCTCAAACCCACTGAAAAAGATCTCCAGTTTTTCTCTCTCCAATGCAAGTATTTAGGTTTGCAGATTTAGAGATGCCAGCCAATCCTAGCTTCTCAGTCTGTCTCTAGGCTTATATGGGAAGGATGATTGATCTTCTAATACTCGATGAAAAGATGAGAGAATTTGACTGAATCTCTTCTGTCTCTGATTTTAATATGATAGATTAATTATCTATTGATTGTTGTATTAATACAATGTTAATACAACATAATTAATAACTCTCTAGATGTATTAGTGAGTTACTGGCATGTGAAAAACCAACAAGAACCCTCTTTTTTTTCCCTGCTCTTAATCAAACCAGTCCATTTGGACTTCTGTGCCTGCATCTGAGGCAGATTCACACAACCTCACTCAAAGTGCTGTCGAGGGACTGCCTTCACTAGATCCTCAGGCAGCGTGTGTTAGGTTGGTGCAAACACTAATTGCGGTTTTTGCCATTACTTTTAATAGAAGGCAAAATAGAAGGAAGGCTGCTTGTTAAAAATACAGACTCCCGGGAATTCTGCCCAAAATCTACCTTAAAGTCTCTGAAAACAAAATCCCTCTGCTTTCACATCTGCATTTTAACCGACTTCCTAGGTTTTTATTACATCCACTGAAGTTTGAGAATTTGGCATCTGGCATCACAGCCCCACCCACACACCTGCTGCATAAGTAGAAACACGTACAAGCAACTCATTGGCACAGAAATATCCCTTCTGTATAATTGTAGATTGTTTAAATCTACATTTATCTTTATTTTGCACATGAAAAGCTCTAAATACCTTTGTTATTCTTTAACTTTTGTAACTATTTTTAAAAAATGTTTTCCCCTTCAAACAGTCTGTAAGTCAGTTTAAAAATATGATTTCTGGAGTCACTTGCCCAAAGATATTAGGGTGCTAGAGCCTAGAGGAGGAGCAGAACTGAAGAATCTGGAAACCCTCCCAGCAGAGATAACTGTAGCTGCCTGAGCCCTGTGGGATTCATTTTTTTATCTGCTTGAGACCTCATCTGTATGACACACAGTGGCTCGGGAGAAACTGCATGTTATGTAGCAACTGAGTTGGGTCACACATTTAGCCTGTGTGGTGCTGCAAATAGTTCATAAATTAGGTGACATTTTTGCACTCCATACATACTTTGGGTCTATGAGTTTGCCTAGACTCTAAGCCAGAACCCTATGTTCTGACTCCTTAGGAAGTATATGCACAAGGAAGAAATAAGAAGGAGTAACAGATGCTATGATTGCCTTTTCCCTGTATTTCTTAGCAGGGACCTCTTTCCATTTCCCAAGTCTTTACCAGGCAGAAGGGCCCAGACCCCTAACTGGTGCTGTTTATTGCCATTTTCCAGCAAGGTCTGGCCATGAAAGTGAACCACATGAATGTCTTGGGAGCCGCCTATGTTCAGCAGGTGTAACCTCACCCACTCTTGCTCGTACATTCTCAGGCCAGGCAAGCTGTAGATCATCCCATTAATGGCTGAAAGGACAAAGAGTTGAAATCAATTAAAAATCTGTTGACACAGAGAGGGCGAATGGTAAGGAAATATGGGGCAACTCACTCAACACCCATCTTCCTCATGATTCTGCATTCCCAGGCCTACCTAGCCATGGAAAGGGCCCTCTTGTATGTCATATTAGTGAGAGGCTGAAGCAGAACCACTAGTCCTTCTCATATCATTCACACCAGCCTACAGCAGAAGGCGGGGTATCTCCCTTTCCAAGCGGTGTATCACTCTTTTCCCCAGCTTTTACACTTCTGTGCTTTACCCATGTATCCTTTCCATTAACAGTCTTAATTTTCCTTAACTACAAAAAGATAAACACAAATATAGGCAGACAAAGTAAACTCCAGGGGTTAGAGTCAGCAAGGAGACATGCAGCATGTCACCTTAAGGCCTTCTAAATTCAGAGAAAGTTTCAGGCAAATTGGGAAGTCTAGGAGTTTATAATATGAGGAGTTTATTGTTGGTGTATCCAGCAACCATAGCAAGTCACGTTTTTTCTCTCATTGGTATGATAACTCCTCTGCCCACTTCTCAGATTAGGTGTCTCGGGTTCTCAGGCTTTATCTACTCTCCCTGTAGTAAAATATGTGGATTTTTTTTTAAAAGTCCCTGAGAAACATGATCACCTTAAAAATGTAACACAAAATTTTAAAGATAAAGTTTAGTGTTACCAAACATTTAACTGAAACCAAAGTGAGGGAAGTGCTTTGTTTCCTTCTTCTTAAGTTAGAGGAACTGCTGTGAAATTTCAGAAACCAGGCAAGCGAATTTTTGGAGAGGGACGGGTTGAGATCAATTGGGCATCCTTAAAATTATATCAGGCATGAGAACACCTGTCTACATATTCATAACACAAGCTCGTACCTTTCTCCTCTCAGTTTCTGTTTCAGTTACTAGCTTACAGGCCGAATTTCTGAGTGAATTTCCAAGTAGGCACACTTTTCCCAGTGTGACCACCCACATGCTTTCTTGCCACTATTCTCCCATTACCTGGGTACCTAGTTTCTTCTCTCATTTTGTTCTCATATGCTTTGGGTGCCACCTGGTAGCTGCTGAGAGCTAAAACTGTTAGAATCATTCTTATTTTAGAAAAGACACACAGGTGATCATTTCTTTTATATAAACACTTGTGCCTTTAGAGATCCAGAAACAAGCTTATTAACTTTTTAAATTGCAGAACAATGTTAATTCCTTTTCAATGTGTGTTACCAGCTGAAGCACACTGGCTTTTTGTTGTTGTGGTTTTCCGTTCGTTTGTTTTACAGCAGCTTCTCTGCACTATCTTTCAGACTTTCTCTTTTTGCCTCACCCACAGTGTTACCTGCCAGATTACATTAGCCCTCTGGAATGTTAAGGAACCGGTTTTAGTTGTAGCTCTGGTTGTCTCAGAAGCATCTCATGTCTAATCTTGTGAAGCTCTAAGGGCAGGAATCACTGTGACCCAGTGTGATTTAATTAGATTAGATCAAAGTCAGAGGAAAATACCGTGAAACTCATGGGATTTTTTCACTTCTGAGGATGTGAGTCTCCAAGAACTTCGGGACTTCTTTTCATAGTACCAGCTCTTCTTTTCATCAAAGGTCATAAATAGTAAGACAAATTCTCTCATGTCCACAGGCATGTTGCTGTCCTTATGTAGTATTCCTTTTTGGCAGATTAGGAGGGGACCTATCAAGCCTGAGTGAATATCTTTTTCCTGGAAAAAGAGAGTAAATTGTATTGTCTCTTTCCCAGGAATTTCTTTGCTCTTCTGATAGTCACTCATCATATAAGAAAGGAAACTTTCTGACAGGCTCTGAATTTGAAGATGAAGATTATAAATAAATGGCGTAATAAGCCTGGATATTTATCACCTAATTCTGTTGTATTCATAATCCTCCTTCCTCTGGTTGATCTTTATCCCAGTAACAATGATGATAATAATAAATTGATAATATAAGGGATACTATTTATTGGGAATCTACCAGAATATTAAATGATTTGCCTGCAATCTCTCATTTAATTGTGACAACTATCTTATATGATAAATATAAATTCATTCATTGAACAAGTATTTACCAAGTGCTTACCATGCACTATGTACTATTGCCTCATTTTTAACTTCTGATACCAAGCTAAGAGAGGTCAAGGAATTTCCTAGGATTATGCATTACATGACAGGGTAAAAATTTAAATCTGAGTCTGTGCTCTTTCCACTATGCATTAAATGAAGGAGTTGCTTCTCTTTTTAATTGACAAATAAAATTGTATGTATATACTGTGTACAACATATTGTTTTGAAGTATATATACATTGCAGAATGATAGATAAGGGAGTCTTGACTTTGTAGTTTTTTTCTATAAAGAAAGAGCAGAACATAGCTAATATTTGTTGAAGAAAATTTCATATAAATGCCATCTTCTGTAAATGTAGGCATTCTAATTCATGGCCAATCGTTCAAGTAATCTTCCCTCCTCTCCACTAAAGGAATGTTTCTCTCTCTGTCATCTGAAGAGCTGCATGGAGAGTCCCTGGTTATGATAAATGTAGACTGTTAACCACACCCTTATGCATTCCTCATGAAAAGCAAGACAGACACTTGACAAGAAATAACCCCCACTCTTCCATTTGGTGGACTCAGATTACGAGGTTAGGGGAATGAGAAAAACTTTCAATGAAAGTACCTACTGGGTTCACAGCTGAGTAGTAGGCCCAAGCCCGACAGGCAGAGCCAGGACTTTCTGGGCCTGATCGTTCAGTGGCATGCCATACGTAGGTATAACTGCTATTTGGCTGAACAGCATTGTCTTCCTTAAACCATTCAGGAGAGTCATCTTCATAAGTCTTTCCCTCTGATGATTTTTCATAGGAAAGTCCATGGGCATGTAGAGAATATGGTCTGGATGCTAAATTTTTAAAACGAACCTAGAGAAAGGAATGATCCACAAATGTGCTTAAGCTTAACAAAAATCTAAACCACAAAAATGTCAGCATTATAGGCCAAAGTGACTGGTTATAAAATCGGAGCTAAGATATAAGGTATAAAATAACTTATGTATATTATTTCATTTAATTTTCACAACCATCCTGTGAGATGTGGCCCAAGTAGTTTTCTCCAGAAATACCAAAAGATATGTGTTCTTAGGCTCAAGGCCAAAATACTGACATTATCTACTAATGAAATGAGAGTGATAGGTAGTGAAGATATGAAGATGAAAGAGACTTGATTCTTGTTCATAAGGAGCTTTTAAGCTTCTGATGAAAACAACATGCACATGGGCATCCACATGACAAATCTGGAGACAACAGGTGCTATATACAAAGTCTAAGTGGGTTCAGATGATGATGCCCTGGAGGAACGATTTGGTTGAGTATTTAGGAGAGGTTGGAAGAATTAAGGTCAGTTTCTTGGAGGAAATGGAATTGGCCATCGTAGAATGAACAGGAGCTAGAAAGACATTTCAGACTCTTGGAAGGGCAGAAGGATGCCTGTGAGCAGGGGAGTAAAGGAAGAGTTTGGGGAATAGCAAGGAAGGATCTGGATGGAGCTGGGCTGTGAAATGCACAGGGACAGGTGGAACCTGGTGAGAAATGAGGCTGGAAAAGGACCAGGTTGGAGCCAGATGGTGAAGGACTTAAATGCCATATGGGAAGTCTTCACACCCCAGCAGTCAGACTCGTGAAGCTCCTCCCGGCCCTTCTATATCTTCTAGTGATTAAAGACCCCCTAATTGTCTCTTCCTTATTTTATTCTACAAAGCCAGCATCACCCTAATAACAAAACCTGGCAAAGACACAATGAATCATGAAAACCACCGGCCAATATCTCTGATGTACATAGATACAAAAATCTTCAACAAAATACTGGCAAACCAAATCCAGCAGCAAATTAAAAATTAATTCATCACAATCACATAGGCTTCATTCCTAGGATGCAAAGTGGCTCAATGTATGCAAATCAATAAATGTGATTCACCACATAAACCAAATTAAAAACAAAAACAGTATCATCATCTCAATAAACATGGAAAAAGCTTTTGATAAAACCTAACATCCCTTCATGATAAAAACCCTCAACAAACTAGGCATTGAAGGAACATATTTCAAAATAATAGGAGCCATCTATGACAAACCCACAGTCAACATCATACTGAATGAGCAAAAGCTGAAAGCCTTCCCTGTGAGAACTGGAACAAGACATGGATGCCCACTCTCATCACTCATATTCAACACAGTACTGGAAATTCTAGTCACAGCAATCAAGCAAGAGAAAGAAATAAAAGGCAATCAAAGAAGAAAAGAAGTTAAACTATCTCTCTTCATTGACAATATGATTCTGTACCTAGAAAACCCTAAAGACTCCACAAAAAGGCTCCAGGAACTGAAAAATGACTTCAGTAAAGGTTCAGTATGCAAGATTAATGTACAAAATCAATTATACAAAATACAATGTACAATGTACAAAGTAGCATTTCTATACATCAGTAATGTTCAAACTGAGAGCGAAATCAAGAACACAATCCCATTAGAAATAGACACACACACACACACACACACACACACACACACAAAATACCTAGGAAAACATCTAACCAAAGTGGTGAAAGATCTCTGTAAGGAGAATTACAAAACACTGACGAAAGAAATCATAGGTAATACAAACAAATGGAAAAACATTGTATGCTCATGTATTGAAAGAATCAGTATTGTTAAAATAGCCATTGTGCCCCAAGCAATCTACAGATTCAACACTATTTTTAATGAACTACTGGAATCATTTTCCTCAGGATTAGACGAAGCTATTCTAAAATTCATATGGAGTCAAAAAAGAGCCTGAATAGCCAAAGCAATCCTACGCAAAAGGAACAAATCTGGAGGTATCACAGTACCTGACTTGAAACTATACTATAAAGCTGCAATAACCAAAATAGCATGATACTGATACAAAAACAGACACATAGGCCAATGGAACAGAATAAAGAACCCAGAAATAAAGCCACACACTTACAACCACCTGAACTTTGACAAAGTCGTCAACAACAACAACAACAACAACAACAACAACAAAAACAAGGGGAAAAGAACTCGTATTTAATAAATGGTGCTGGAATAGCTGGCTACCCATATGTGAAAGAATGAAACTGGACCCCAATGAATCCAATGAAACTGGATTAATCATATACAAAAATTAACTCAAGATGGATTACAGATGTACCCTAGGACATAAAGTATAATTTTTAAAAAAATGGATTAAAGATTTAAATGTAAGACCTCAAACTTTAAGAATCCTAGAAGAAAACTTAGGAAACACCATTCTGGATATCAGCCTTGGGAAAGAATTTATGACTAATTCCTCAAAAGCATTTCAACAAAAGCAAAAATTGACAAACTAAAGAGCTTTTTCTCAGCAAAAGAAGCTACCTACAAAGTGAACAGACACAGAATGGAAAAAATATTCACAAAGTATGTATCTGACAAAGGTCTAATATCCAGAAACTATAAGATAGTTAAACAATTGAACAAGTGAAATACAAGTAACCCCATTAAAAGGTGGGCAAAAGACATGAACAGATACTTCTCAAAAGAAGACATACGAATAGGCAACAAACATGAAAAAAAATGCTCAATATCACTAATCATCAGAGAAATGCAAATCAATACTACAGTGTAATACCATCTCACACCAGTCAGAATGGCTATTAGTAAAATCCAAAAAATAGATACTGGTGAGGCTGTGAAGAAAAGGGAATGCTTATACACTGCTGCTTAGAATGTGAATTAGCCACTGTGGAAAGACGTTCGGGGATTTCTCAAAGAACTTAAAACAGAACTACTATTTTAAGTGAGGAGACCACTCCTCATATTGTCTTATGCCCAATTTCTGCCTCCAAAGAAAGAAGAAGTAAAAACTAAAAGGCAGAAATGAAATCTACAAGCAGACAGCCCAGCACCACACCGTGGGCCTGGTAGTTAAAGATCGACCCCTGACCTAATTGGTTATGTTATCTATAGATTACAGACATTGTATAGAAAAGAACTGTGAAAATCCCTGTCCTGTCCTGTTCTGTTCTAATTACCGGTGCGTGCAGCCCCCAGTCATGTACCCCCTGCTTGCTCAATGGATCATGACCCTTTCACACGGACCCTCTTAGAGTTGTGAGCCCTTAAAAGGGACAGGAATTGCTCACTTGGGGAGCTCGGTTGTTGGAGACATGAGTGTTGCCAAAGCTCCTGGCTGAATAAAGCCCTTCCTTCTTTAACTCGGTGTCTGAGGGGTTTTGTCTGAGGCTTGTCCTGCTACAATTTGACCTAGCAATTCTATTACTGAGTATATAGCCAAAAAAGAAAGTAAAACTGTTCAGCCGGGCACAGTGGCTCATGCCTGTAATCCCAGCACTTTGGGAAGCTGAGGCAGGCAGATTACCTGAGGTCAGGAGTTTGAGACCAGCCTGGCCAATATGGTAAAACCCTGTCTCTACTAAAAATACAAAAATTAGCTGGGCCTGGTGGTGGGCACCTGTAATCCCAGCTACTCGGGAGGCTGAGGCAGGAGAATTGCTTGAACCTTGGAGGCAGATGTTGCAATGAGTTGAGATCATACCTCTGTACTCCAGCCTGGGCGACAGAGTGAGACTCCATCTCAAAAAAAAAAAAGAAAAAGAAAAAGAAAATACATTGTTCTACCAAAAAGACACATGTACTAGGATGTTCATCACAGCATTATTCACAGTAGCAAAGACATGGAATCAACCTAGGTGCCCATCAGTGGTGGACTAGATAAAGAAAATATGGTATATATGCACCATGGAATACTATGCAGCCATAAAAAAGACTGCAATCATGTCCTTTACAACAACATGGATGCCAGCTGGAGGCTGTTATGCTAAGTGAATTAATATAGAAACAGAAAACCAAATACCACATGTTCTCACTTATAAGTGGGAGCTAAACATTGGGTACTCACAAACATAATGGCAATAAACACTGGGGACCACTAGAGCGGGGTGGGAGGAGGGAGATGAGCAAGGGCTGAAAAACTATTGGGTACTATGCACACTACTTGGATGATGGGATCAATCATACCCTAAACATCAGCATCACATAATATACCCAGATAACAAACCTGCACATATGCCCCCTGAATCTAAAATAAAAGTTAAAATTATTTTTAAATACACAAATGAAGTTATTTTTATCTCGTGAAATCCAGGGCTAAAACAAAGATTCAGTATTTGATTTTTTTCCTTTTGCCTAAGGCTCCAGTATGACTCAATGCAACATTGTTACTGATCCTGTCTTTATTCACAATTGTGATGTTTTGTTAATTGTGACTTTTGTGTGTTTATTTTGATTTTTAAATTTTTAAAAAAACTTCAGTTGCTTTAGGGATGCAAGTGGTTTTTGGTTACATGGATGAATTGTATAGTGGTGAAGTCTAGGATATTAGTTGTACCTGTCACCTGAGTAATGTACCCTGCACCCAGGAGGTAGCTTTTCATCCATCCCCCCATTCCCTTTCGAATTTCCAATGTCCATTATACCAATCTATCTGCCTTTGCATACCCATAGTTTAGCTCCCATTTATAAGTAAGAACATACAGCGTCTGGTTTTTGATTCCTGAGTTACTTCACTTAGAATAGGTTTTTAAAATATTGTGTTAAATTATCATTCATCTTGAAAAAGGATCCCCTAATCATAAGAGAGACTATTGCCTTCCATAGTTTCATGGAAAATTTAGAATAATTAAGATTCTTATATCCTTGTGTACTTGTTTACATTTTTAAAAAGAGCAAATGGTCACTGAAAATGTAGTGAATGCTTACACAGGTATAGTAGGTTATATTTTAAAATCTAGGATAGCTTACTTTAGAATCAGGGTTCTTTCTGGGTTTTTGAACGTGAGAGGTTAGCAAAAATGACGGAAGTAAACTTTGCTATAAAAGCAAGTTATAATCCTGGGTCTGGACACAAGATTTTGAAAGAAATGACCAGAACTAGAAAGACACTGAAGAAACTTGCTCACTTTTGGAGGGCACAGAGACATCTTTACTTTCCTTACTCATTTTATTTAACTTCACTTTATTTATTTTTTCAGGAAAACATCAGGAGATATTTCTAAATTGCTATTACTACTAGCACTACTACTGCCGCCACCACCACCACTATTATGAAGCCCAATGCAATTGCTCTTGAATATATTAACTTTCTATGTTAACTTTAGATAGGTTAGCTTTAGATAGAAATTACAGAGAGATTTTCTACAGATTACATAGTTTTCAGCATTTAAAAAAAAGTGAGATCTTTTTTTTTTTAGTCTTAAAGATTGCCAAATTGTTTGACAAGGAGTCTTTGAAAAGAAATGTAATTATTCATTAATCCTGGAAAATAAACAAATCACCTATAGCTCTCTTGCCACCTGCACCTTTACAACCCTCTGGTGCTTGTGAAAATTCCTCTGATGATCTTAGCAGTGCTCAAAAGACTTACTTGGATAACATCATCCACTTCAGCTCTGATAATAGGACCAAGAATTCCGAGATGCTCTTCATACTCCCCTCGAGGATCACGTTTGGTAAAAGTGCTGTCGAGGTACTTTCGGAAAACTACTTTCTTATATACGGTGTCTTCTGGAACATCATCAGAGTCTTCAATATCTGTTTCCCTGAAATAATAATACTAATTGTGTAAAAGAAGAAATTAAAGACTGTTCAAAGAATTTAGGAAATTGTCTCTTTCTAAATATAGCATCTAGCATAGAGAAGGTCTTTAATAAATATTTGATGGACAAATGAGTAAATGTAAAAGTGAATAAAAACAAAAGCCAGTAAATATCTTTCAATTCCTAACTCAGATATTATTTCATAGGTAAGTCTTCCTATGACCTTTCAGACTAGGTCAAGTCTCTATATCGATTCCTTATATTTCTATAGTATTATTATAGTATACATAGTAAATTCCTGTAGTATTCTTATACTATTTCTATAGTATATATGGTATATTATATATAATTTATTTGTGAGATTAGCTATTAATATCTGACTCTCACTGGGTATAAGTACCATGAGGTCAGCCATTGTGCCTAGTTTGCTCATAATACTCTCTCCAGTGGTAAGCACATTATCTGGCACACAGTAGGAGCTTAATAAATTTTTGTCAAACATATAAATGAATGCACAAATACAATCATATGTTCTAAATTTTAAGATCAAAGGCAGACAAAGCCATGTAATGGGACAGCGCCAGAGCTTGGGGCTATCAGGTGACAATGGTCAGATTAATTAGAAGGTCATACTTATGAAAGTCACTGGATGGATGAATGTTTTGTACCCTGAAAGTAGCCACTCTTCTCACATTTGTTTTTTGCTAATGTCCATTATTCTTAAGCTTCTTGACACTGGTGTGGACAAAGATTTTTTGGATATGACCTCAAAAGCAAAGGCAACAAAAGCAGAAATAGACAAATGGGATTGCCACCAAACTCAAAAGTTCATGCACAGCAAAGGAAATGACAGAGTGAAGAGACAACCTGTGGAATGGGAAAATATTCTTGAAAACCAAATATCTGATAAGGAATTAAAATTGAAAGTATAAGGAACTCAATTCAGCAAAAACCCAAATAGCGTGATTAAAAAATGAGCAAAAGACTTGAATAGACATTTCGTAAAAGAAGACATACAAATGACCAACAAATATGTGAAAAGATGCTCAACATTACTAATAATCAGAGAAATGCAATTTAAAATCACAATGAGGGCTCACCTCACACCGTCAGGATTGTGTTATAAAAATGACAAGAGATAAATGTTGGCAAGGATGTGAAGAAAAGGGAACTCTTGTACATCTTGGTGAGAATGTAAATTAGTACAGCCATTATGGAAAACAGTATGGGAGGTTCCTTTAAAAATTAAAAATAGAATTACCATATGATTCATTCATCCCATTTTTGGGTATATACCCACAGAAAATGAAATCAGTATGTTGAAGAGATATCTGCTCTCCCACGTTCACTGCAGCATTAGCCACATTAGCCAAGATAGGGAAGCAACCCAAATGTCTATCAACAAATGAATGGATTTCTTAAATGTGATCTGCATAAACAATGAAATACTATTTAGCATTGAAAAAAAAGAAAATGGTCCGGGAGTGGTGGCTCACACCTGTAATCCCAGTACTTTGGGAGGCCGAGGCGGGTGGATCATGAGGTCAGGAGATCGAGACCATCCAGGCTAACACGGTGAAACCCTGTCTCTACTAAAAATACAAAAAAAATTAGCCGGGCGTGGTGGCAGGCGCCTGTAGTCCCAGCTACTTGGGAGGCTGAGGCAGGAGAATGGCGTGAACCCGGGAGGCGGAGCTTGTAATGAGCTGAGATCACACCACTGCACTCCAGTCTGGGAGACACAGCAAGACTCCGTCTCAAAAAAAAAAAAAGAAAGAAAATGAAGAAATGTCATCTGCGACAACATGACTGAACCAGGAGGTCGTTATGTTACATAAAATAAGCCAGGCACAGAAGGGATCTCACTTATAATGTGGAAACTGAAAACATTGAGCTCATAGAAGCAGAAGGTACGACCGTGGTTAACAAAGGAATACAGAGGTGAAGCATTGAGAAAATGGTCAAAAGATAAAATTCAATTAGAAGAAATAAATTTAGAAGATCTGTTGTATAAGATGGTGACTGTAGTTAATAACAACACACTGAATTTTTTAACATTGCTGAGTACATTTTAAGTGTTCTAACCACAAAAAAGTATGTGAGGTAATGCATAGGCTAATTAGCTTGATTTTGTCAATTCACAGTTTATAAATATATGAAAACATCATGTTTGCACCATAAATATGTATAAAACGATGACCAAAAAAAAAAAACAAACAAAAAAAACTGTGGTACACCCATGTAATGGAGTACATGCAATAACCTGACAAATCTCCAGAGAATTTTACTGAGTGAAAAAATACCAGTCCCCAAAGGTTACATGTTGCCTGATTCCATTTATGTAATATTCTTGAAATGACAAAATTATAGAAATGGAGATCAGACTACTGGTTGCCAGGGAATAAGGAAGGGGTATGGTGGGAGGAAGGTCGATATGAGTATAAAGGGGTAAAGAGAGGGATTTTTAAGGTGATGGTAAACATCCCGTATCTTGACAGTATCAATGTCAGTATGCTGGTTGTGATATAGTATTATAGATTTGCAAAATGTTACCCCTGGGAGAAACTGGGTAAAGAATGCTCATGATACTCAAATAATCTCTCCGTATTATTTCTCTTGACTGTATGTGAATCTATTTTATTTTTATTCCAAAATAAAAAGTTTAATTAAATAAAGCACATTATTTCCATCTAGTTCATTGTCTCAGTCTAGGACTGAAGCATGTCGAATTTTCCCACTGGCTCTCACATTTCCCAAGCCTGTGGAAACAAGCCAAACAGTCACCCATCACACCCATAATATTTGCTATATACCATGAGCCATCAACAGAGAATCTCATTCTGCCTTTCTTCTGGTCTACCTCCCCTACTAATCCCATCTTTCCAGACTCTGAGCATAACATGCAAACTCACAGAACACAAGGGAGTGGGTAAAGCAACTTTGACTGCCATTAAAGTGGGTCGTGAGCCTTGAATGGAATACAAGATTTTGAAGGTAGTTCTATCCCTATTTACTCTGGACAGGCTCTACATCTTACTCCCTCAGGCCTTGCTTAGAAATGCTTAGATAGCTAGTTGTTCTCATATGGTATTGAGTGCAACATTTAAATAGGAAGTCATAGGAAAAAGTGTTTTAAACAGAGTTCTAACGTGGAAATGTCAGGCATCAGATTAATGAAGTCATTTGCGTAAGTCACATCATACATTGTGTTTGCCTACTGTAATTACACTTTGGTTTTTTAAGTGATTAATGTAACAGTTTTAGTAAAAGCTGTGGGCTATGTCTAGACAGTTGATGCGCAGTCATCATGCTATGTCCCTGAGAATTTGTAGTTGACTAAGCCTTGCTCCTTTCCTTCTCTTTCTGTATCTTCATCCCAGAACAAAGAACCCAGTTCAACATGGCTTTCTACCCCTAAGCAAAACTGAATTGTAAATTATCTTTAAAAAAAAGTGATTTGGATCTCTTAGAAATTCTGATCTAAACAAGTAAATGCAAAAAGGAGATTTCTACATCATATTTGGTTTTGGATTTGAGGCTTACTTCAATTAAATCATATTGATTAGCATATAGCTATGGATAGGTTGGGCTCTGCCTGGAGCAATAAGAGTCAGTAGAAACAAGGGTAGTAAGAGGAGAGGACACAGAAAAAGGCCTAATTACAGAATATTATAGAGTTCTCCCAATGATTATTCTTATATTGTCCAGGGGTCATCAAAGGTAAAGAAGCAGTTTTGGAATTGACAAAGGAAATAGAACAGACCAACTTGCAATAGGGGAACCACACTGTTCTTAGTAGAATTTGTCCACAATTATCCCCCTGAATTGTAGTAGCTACTTTTTTCAGGAGTAATGGCAAAATGAGAATAAAAAAGGAGAAAACTGGCCAAACCTTTGCACAAATTCTGAATAATCCCAGGATATTTCTTCAGCAGCAATGTAATAATTTCTTCTGTTTCCGTTGTTGCTGCGGAGGAGGTACCATGCTGCAATATTGTCAGGATTTCTGGAGGAGTTGATGTTTGTCCTAACATCAGTTTTGTAGGGGTCATCATAGGGCACATAATCAATTTCAGCATAGTCATCTTCACTGCTCTGGACCTCTTCCTTTGGAATAATCTCAATGTAATCTGTACCATCTTTACTGAGGCCCACTATAACCAGTGGATTAAATTCCTTTGATAGAAAAGTATCATTGAGAGTAGGAGATGAAGGAGATGGCATCTGACCAAGGTCTGGATAAGGAAAAGTCTCATTAAATTCTGGAAGATGCAATGACTGACTAGATTCAGAAGGGTAGAATGTCTGATCAAGGTCTGGAGGAGGTGATATCTGGCTGAGATCAGGGAGAAGGGTGGTCTCACTGATGTCTGGAGAGACAGTCACCTGGCTGAGGTCTGGAGAAAGGGGCATCTGACCGAGGGCTGGGGAAAGGTTTGTATGACTGAGTTCTGGAGAGAGGTTTGTCTGGCTGAGGTCTGGAGAAAGGGTTGTATGACTGAGGTCTGGAGAAAGGGTTGTCTGGCTGAGGTCTGGAGAGAGGTTTGTATGACTGAGGTCTGGAGAAAGGGTTGTCTGGCTGAGGTCTGGAGACATGGGCATCTGACCGAGGGCTGGGGAAAGGTTTGTCTGACTGAGGTCTGGAGAAAGGGTTGTATGGCTGAGGTCTGGAGAGAGGTTTGTATGACTGAGGTCTGGAGAAAGGGTTGTATGGCTGAGGTCTGGAGACATGGGCATCTGACCGAGGGCTGGGGAAAGGTTTGTCTGACTGAGGTCTGGAGACATGGGCCTCTGACCGAGGGCTGGGGAAAGGTTTGTCTGACTGAGTTCTGAAGAGAGAGTCGTGTGGCTGAGGTCTGGCGAGAAGTTTGTTTGGCTGAGTTGTGGAGAGAGGGTCACCTGGCTAAGGTCTGGAGAGGTGACTGTCTGCCAGACTTCACGTTCTGAGGAAGGGGACATTTGACTTATATCAGTGGGGAAGGACTTGTGACTTCGGTCATACTCAAGCATCTCACTGAGCTCTGGAGCAGAGGATCTGTGACTGGGGTCTGAAGTAGAGTGCATTTCATCAGGGTCTTGAATGGGGAATGTTTCATAGTGTTCCTCTGGGGGCACTGTCTGATAAAGACCTGGAGGAGAGCTTGTCTGACCAGTATCATTCGAGGAATTCTGATTATGGTCAGGAAGTGAGGCTATCCAGCTAAAATCCATAGAGGGCAATGTCTGATTGAGGTCTTTGGGAAGAGATGTTTCATTGGATTTACGAAGCAACAATGAATGGTTAAGTCTTCTTTCTGAAAATGTGTTGTAGGCTTCATTTCTTAGAGGGTGAAAGGTCCTTGGAGATAAAGGAGCATGGTGTGTACGCTTCTCTTTTTTCTTTTTTCGTGTCTTAATGAGAAACTGACTTTTCTTTAGTCCACTCTTTCCTCCATCCTGTCTTACTTGCAGAGATTTATGTCTAACTCTAGGAAACCTTGGGTGGCCACTCTGCTTTCCAGGCTTGTTGGCAAGAGGGGTGCTTTCTCCCCAAGCACGTGAGGCATTCTGGGGGCTGATCAGTCGATTGTTAACAGCTGTGTCTTCATCAGTATCTTGGATTATTTCATAGCTACCTTTCTCAGAAGCCAAATGCCATCTCCCAACCAAAATCTTAGATGAGTTATTTTGTTTTAAGAGTAACAGATCACTAGGAAGGTCCTCCCAGGGCCTCACTCTGGAGGGAGAACCAGTGTCTCGGCTTAGGTGTCTCCCAACTTTATGTGCTAGTAATTTCATCCGGGAGAACCTGTGCTTTGCTGCTTGGTCTCTTTCTACCTTGGGTCCATTATGTTTAGCATGTTCTTGATTTTTGAATTCTCTAGCACCAAGTGAAAGTAGATGTATCCCTGTGACATCTGGCTGTAGAGGATCCTCTATAGGGTCTTCAGAATAAGGGCTGGAATGCTCTGCTGTGGAAGAATTGAGAACTGAGTTCTTGCCAGTGAGGTGTCTCAGTGGGGAACCAGCTGTGGTGGCTTGTCGGTGAGAAGGGGTTTTCTGAGGTTCTGCAAAGTTATTGACAGTGAGCCTACTAATATTATTTGGGGAAGAATAATTTGAACCAACAATTATATCTGTGTTCGAAGAAATGAATTCAGTGCCATTCTCCAGAACTAGGGCAGTAAGATTGTACTCTTCTTCTTCCTGATTCAATGATGAGTTTCTGAATGACCTAATTCCTAATGCTGCAGCCAGTCTGCTCTGGTAATCATAGTCAGTGTCACTCTCTTCATCTTCAGTTTCTAAACGATCATGCATTTTCCGTGTAGCTATGACTGTAGATTCTGGAGGTTCAAAAATCTCATATGAGTCTTCATCATCATCTGTAATACATTTAACATCCCTGAATTTCAGCCTCAGCTTTTTGCTTCTTGGACTAGAATTCATGGAAGTTAACATCCAAGTTCCTACAGAAGAGAGATAGAGAGAAGAGATATCTGGAAGTCTGGGAAAAGACATGAAAACACAGTAATCCATTGTGGCAGGTAATTTCTAATAAACTTTAGACAGGAATACTCAAGTATGGGCTGTGGACCACTGCTTGCCTGTGAACTATTGATTACTGGGTCAAAATAACATAAGGAGAGAAAAATGAGAATGAAATATTTAATAAACTTTTTCTTTTCTAAAGCAATTTGACATTGCTGTGACTCTAAGCACATGACCAGTGCATTTATCTCGCTTAACAGAATAAAAACCAAAAGTATTGCTTAGTGGAGATTAGAGGGGAAAAATGGTCTTCCAGCACAGATAGTTACTCACTATTTTAAAATATATTAAGAAAGGGATGAATCAAGAATAAAATGGACTTTTAATATCATAAATATCTTAACAGCACATCTTGTCTTAGAATTAGAGTTAAAGGGCTGATGATGAGCTCTATCCTCACAAATAAGAGACATTTAGATGTTTCTAAGTAATAATTCAGGGGGACAGTTCTGAATCTCTGAAATGGCATGCATTGCTGGCACATTAAAGATTTCTTGGTGAGTCTCTAATAGTTACCATTGTTGGTGTCTACTGAGTGCTAGGCACTTGGCACTTGGCACATATTACTATTTTAATGGTCAAAGTAACTCTGTGAGATGTGATTACACTGTTTTCCAGATAAATGATCCGTGGCTCAGTGAGGCCAAGTAACTTGTGTGAGGTTACACAGCGATTGAGTGGCAGATCACGACTTGCATTCCAGTCTGACAAACTCCAAAGCTGTTGCTGAAGCAGCTTCTAAGGCACTGTACCTGATGATTGAAGATGGCTGTCGCAAAAAACTGAAAAGGGCATTTTGATAAAAGAAATGCTTTTTTGTGGGCAAAATATTTATGCTTCTTCCTCAAAGTTATGCCTTATTTTTCTGCTGTTGTATATCTTCCTAATTTGCCCAGAGAAGGAAAAATATAACCTACACTAAAGAACTGGATCCATTTAAGTCATTAATTTCTCAAAGAGAAACCATGAGAAACATTGAAAGGAAAGTCTGCAGGGGATCAGGGAGATAAATAGAGGAGCACTGGTAGCCTGGAGAGCTGCAGCAGACCTTTATAGACCAGAAATTCAAAGCAAGCTTCCTCTCTGAGTGCCCAGGCTCTTACTCACCAACATTATCCATTGTGACCGTCACAGATTCTCCACGCATGGGGAAGAGGGTCAAGGTGTCCTCATGCCTCTTTCCATAGATGAATGAGTGCCCAGTGAAGTGGATGGTCAAAATTTCATTCTGGGTCCCCACACTACAGAAGTGCCACTGGACAGTGTCATCAAAGCAGAATCCAAGAGTAGTTATGCTCTCGGGCACATAGCCATTGATAGCTGAAAGTGTAAAATCTGTTAAAATTCCAGGTCTATGCCAACGAAAGGGCATGTGTCTAATTATACCTAAGATAAATGTCTCCATGTTAATTTGGTTGTGTCAAAGCAGTGATTATCCAAGATAAGCTTTATCTAGTCTAACATGTGACTAGAAGATCAAACTCAGAATTTTCCAGTGAGAGATTATTCTCCTAAATTAGCCAAAGGAGAAATCTCAGGAAAAAGATAAAGCCTTCCATTTACATTGATTTAGTCATTCATTTGTCAAATGTATAGTAAATATTTTGTGCTCCATTCTCTGCCTTTAAAGATATTCTAATAATTCCACTTGGAGGAAAAGCATAATATAAGAAATTCATTTTTTGATGTACTAGTCATTGGGTAAGAAGTAATGTCCCAAAAAATAAAGCCCATTTAGCATATTTTATAGTTTTTATTGCTGTCTTATAATCTATATAGTATTCACAGTTTCCATTTGAGTATCCAGTTCATACATTTCCATAATTGTTAAAAGGGACACTGCTGTAGGCAATATTTCTATTTACTTATGTACTAAGCATAGTAAAAATCAAAGGTATGATTTCTATGAGGGTGGGGCTCATGTCTATCTTGATTACCACTCTTAGCCTTAGTACCAGTATAATGACTGGCATTAACAAATATTTAAATACCTACTTAAATCACTAAAGTGACTTTAATAATTTACATGATACATTATTAGTTTATACCTCATTCTAGATGTTTCTCTAAATCGTCTATAATTGCATTGTTCAATATGGTAGCCACTGGCTACAAGTGGCTATTGAGCACTTGAAATGTGGGTAGACTGGACTGAGATATGCTGTGAGTATAAGATATACATTGAATTTCAAAGACTTAGTAATGAAGTAAGTCTCATTAATTTTTATATTGATTACATGTTGAAATGATAATATTTAGGATATACTGAGTTAAGTAAAACATACTACTAAAATTAATGTCACCTATTTCTCTTTACTTTTTAATGTTGCTATCAGAAAATTTTAAATCACACATGTAGCTCATACGTAGCTTCTACTGGACAGCACTGGTCTAGAACTATGATAGATTCACTGCCAAAAGGAACTTATGCAAAGAAAACTGAGAGTAATTTTCTGTTTGAATTATTTGACCTGGCACCTGTCAGCTCTGATAATCCCTAGCTGTCAGTCATCTGAAGCTATATGAACAGAACATGGAGAAATTATCCTCACGTGTGTGATTACCTACTAGAGAAGGTGATTACCATGATTCTAGACTCTGAGGATCAGTAGGGGGGACTCTGGCTGTTGTGGAGAAGTTTACTTCCAGCTGGCTCAGTGACATTTCTCTCAGACGCCATGGCAGTGCTTTTGGCTACTGAACTTTAGAACTGTGGCAAATGCCGGAAACCTCATTCAGGGAATTCCTTTTGTTCTGAATGTCTTACTGATCACTTTAAACTTCTTCGTACATTGCCTTTCCAAGACTCTTGGGTCCCTATACTCATTTTGCTCTACTTTAATGTGTCAATTCATCTTTGAATTACTTGCCTTGTTTCTGTCCTGGCCATATATTCACCCTGAACTCAGTCTAGGATACTATTGACATGGCCTGTAACACCTTCCATTAGTCCTACCCCCTCACCCTGTTCCTCACCATTCAGAGTACGTCTGTGTACACACACACACACACACACGCTTGGAATAGAAGATCAAGTGCATTTCTAAGGATAGCAAGCCTTTGACCTCTTGCTTAAAAATGTTGCTATGATGTTACCTACGAATTTCATCACCAAGTCTTTGGACTGGAAGTGAGGATTGGAGATGCTCCTTAGCAAGTGGATTCTAATCCTTGTCTCTGACTCTAGGCACAGTCATATTTCAACCACAGGAATGAAAAACCGATGAGCAAAAATAGTACTCTGACTTACTGCTCATGATGTTTGATTCATAAAACTTGGGGTCATCACGTTTCACCTCATCAGGATTTTCACAAAACTTGTTGATGTTGTCCTCAAGGTACCAACTTTTGTTCTCATCAAACACAGCAAACACAGCCTGCTGTTCGATGTCTGCTGCCCTCTGGAGGACAAAACAGTATAGTACTGGTACAAGAACAGACACATAGACCAATAGAACAGAATAGAGAACTCAGAAATAAGGCTGCCCACCTACAACTATCTGATCCTTGACAAACGTGACAAAAACAAGCAATGGGAAAACAATTCTCTATTCCATAAATGGTTCTGGGAAAACTGGCTAGCCGTAGGCGGAAAATTGAAACTGGACCCCTTCCTTACACCATATACAAAAATTAACTCATGATGTATTAAAGACTTAAATGTAGGCCTGGCGCGGTGGCTCATGCCTGTAATACCAGCACTTTGGGAGGCCAAGGTGGGTGGATCACCTGAGGTCAGGAGTTCAAGACCAGTCTGGTCAACATGGCAAAACCCATCTCTACTACCAAAAAAAAAAAAAAAAATTAGCTAGGTATCGGGCGTATGCCTGTAATCCTCGGGAGGCCGAGGCAGGAGAATCACCTGAACCTGGGAGGCAGAAGTTGCAGTGAGCTGAGATTGTACCACTGCACTGCAGCCTGGGCAACAGAGCGAGACTCTGTCTCAAAAATAACAAAAACAAACAAACAAACAACAACAACAAAACACTTAAACATAAAACCCCAAACTACAAAAACCCTGGAAGACAACCTAGGCAATATTATTTGGGACATAGGCATGGGCAAAGCTTTCATGACGAACATGCCAAAAGCAATAGCAACAAAAGCAAAAATTGGCACATGGGATGTAATTGAAACAAAGAGCTCCTGTACAGCAAAATAAACTATCAAGAGAATAAACAGGCAACCTACAGAATGGCAGAAAATTTTTGCAAACTATGCATCTGGCAAAGGTCTAATATCTAGCATTTACAAGGAACTTAAATTTACAAGAAAAAAATAAACAGCCCCATTAAAAAGTAGGCAAAGGACATGAACAGACATTTTTCAAAAGAAGACATACATGTGGCCAAGGACTATATGAAAAAAACGCTCAACATCACTGATCATTAGAGAAATGCAAATCAAAACCACAATGAGATACCATCTCACACCAATAAGAATGGCTATAAATAAAAAGTCAAAAACTAACAGATGCTGGCAAAGTTGTGGAGAAAAAGGAACACTTATACACTCTTGGTGGGAGTGTAATTAGTTCAATCATTGTGAAAGACACCATGGTGAGTCCTCAAAGACCTAAAGTCAGAAATACCTTTGAACCCAGCAATTCCATTACTTGGTATGTACCCAAAGGAATATAAATCATTCTATTATAAAGACGCGTGCATGCGTATGTTCATTTTAGCACTCTTCACAATAGCAAAGACATGAAATCCACCCAAATGCCCATCAATGATAGACTGGATGAAGAAAATGTGGTACATATACACCATGGAATACTACCAAAAAGAACAAGATTATGTCCTTTGCAGGGACATGGATGGAGCTGGAAGCCATTATCCTAAGCAGGCTAACACGAGAACAGAAAACCACATACTGCATGTTCTCACTTACAAGTGAGAGCTAAATGATGAGAACACATGGACACATAGAAGGGAACAATACACACTGGGGCCTATCAGAGGACGGAGGGTGGAAGGGGGGAGAGGATCAGGAAAAATAACCAACAGATACTAGGCTTAATACCTGGGTGATGAAATAATAAGTACAACAGACCTCCATGACACATGTTTACCCACGTAACAAACCTGCACATCCTGCACACGTACTCCTGAACTTAAAAGTAAAAAAAAAAAAAAAAAAAAAAGTGCTGTATTCAGTCATTAATGTTCCAGCAAATTATCTACACCACTGAATTCTCAGAAACCAAAGTGACACAGTTCTTGGAACTACTGAAGCCATATAATTCAGGCATTTATGAGAGTCCATTGCATACACAGCACTTGTTAGAGTTAAAGGTAATATGCAAAAGCAAATAGAACAGATAAGAAAATTCAGAGATTAAAATATCCCAAAAGAGCCGGGCGCATTGGCTCACACCTGTAATCCCAGCACTTTGGGAGGCTGAGGCAGGTGGAACACCTTAGGTCAGGAGTTCGAGACCAGCCTAGCCAACATGGTGAAACCCTGTCTCTACTAAAATACAAAAATTACATGGCGGTGGTGGTGGGTGCCTGTAATCCCAGCTACTCAAGAGGCTGAGGCAGGAGAATCACTGGAACCCAGGAGGCAGAGGTTGCAGTGATCTAAAATGGTGCCACTGCTCTCCAGCCTGGGTGACAGAGTGAGACTCTGCCTCAAAAGAAAAAAAAAAAACAAATCCCAGAAGAAAAATTTCACTATGGCAGCTGAAAGTCTGTCTATCTCTGTAACTGCACACCTTTCAACATGAATGATTGACTGAATATGCTACGAGTGAGTGCAAAGGATAAAACAGAAGGTTGCAACAGCAAAGCCTTATGCTTCTACTATCTGTTTCCTTTCCTAGTTCAATAAATCAGGATCTTCCATATGTCCAGAAATTCATTTTCTAGGCATATGTTTATCTTGTATGCCTTGAGATAAGACCTCTTTGGTTATAGTTTAGCATAATTGGGAATTTTAGTTTAATCACATGAGACTGTAGTTCTTCAATGAAGACGAACTCAGAAATTCGGTATCTTTGTTCACATTCCCCTGTATACTTTAGTCTCAACAGAGATGGGCCATTATCTCGGTGGGATTTCACTAGTAACTATGTTTCTAAATGGTTGCTTTCAGAGAATCTCTCCTCTCTCTCCCTATTGCAGGTCTCTAAAAATAACAGAGACTGGTAAAGAGCTTTATACTTTTACCAGATGGTATCTCACTAAACCCCAAACAGACCTGTAACATTTTTAGGAGGGGTATCAACCCATTTGATAAAAGGAAGAAATTAGGAGAGGCTAATCAACTTGTTCAACACATCCAATACCAACAGACCTGGAATTTGAAACTAAGACAAAATATGTTATCACACTCTAGACTTGCCTTCTGCAGTGATGGTACTGATAAAAATAGACAAGACAAAAAAAAAAAGAATAAATGTTATCACACTGGTGCTAAAAAGGACTACTTGACAATTACTGTTCTCTTGAAGGAAAAGCCCCATTATTTAGCGGGGAGACCTAACACGTTCTAGCCAGAAGAAATTCCCAGAATTTCTGAAAGGTTACTTCAAGGACAAAATACCTGTATTCCTCGCCTGTCCAGGGATCTGCTCTTACAGATTAGAAGTAGTCCTATTAGCCCAGAGGCGATGTCTCTCATGATGTCCACGTCACTGTAGTATGGTCTTGTTAAGCACTGGGCATCGTTTTCTGTGGGTTCATCGAACTCTAAGATGTTCCACTTATAAGTATAGATTTCCCCTGGTTGAACTGCTCTGATCATGGTGTTGTTCCTGCCTGAAAGAAAATACATTCAAAATTGTTTTCATTTGCAAAGTTATTTCATGATAATAAATAAATAAACAAGCTTTTGTTAGAACCAATTAATATTGCAAAAGGAATTCTTTAAATATTCTACTTGGAACCCGGATAGCATAGAGCCATTAGATACTGTTCCACTAGAGGCCACTATGACACTAACAAAAGGCACCATATTTTGTTACCACTAGGAGACAAACTCCTGAAGTGAGAAGGGTTTGGCTGTGATTTTTAGGATACTCCTACACGTATACTACCTGATTGCAGCAGTGACACCACTGGGCAAGGAGAATAGCAGGAAAACGTGGTGGCCTCTCAGAAGTCACTAGTTGGATTCAGTAGAAGTGAAAGATTCAAACCTGAGGTGAAAGTAGAGTTGACTTCATCTTCATAAGGTGAGAAGGTCACTCCATGAGGGTAAATGCTATAGGGGCGGCTGGCCATATTTTTGAACACGATCTACAAAGTCAAATCAAATTTATTCTAGGATTTCAGGTTGATCATGACAAATAATATAAGATACTAGCTTTGCATCTTCACCTTTTGGATAGTGTGTGTGTACACATGTGTACACACAGTGGGAAAATTAGATCTGTTTATCTGATCAGTAATCTCCCCGCATCACTTGGGAGGAGCATTGGAGAGAGTGTTTCACTCATACACGAAGGTGGAAAATGGAAAGAGAAGTCTGACTTTAGAGGATAAGTTAGGAGAAGTAAAGTTTTCCTCACAGTATCACTGTCTCCAAGCAAGTCCTCCTTCCCCTGCCCTTCTCTTTCCAGCGTGGGTCACTTCTCATTTTGAATCTGTTTCTCATCTCTAGACCATGATCCCCTTCCCCTGCCTGGTAGATTTTTTTAGGACACTGTCTTTGAAGTCATCTTCTCAGCTAGGTGCAGTGGCTCAAACCTGTAACCCCAGCACTTTGGGAGGCTAAAGCAGGTGGATCACTTGAGCTCAGGAGTTCAAGACCAGCCTGGGCAACATGGTGAAACCTCATCACTGCAAAAAAAAATACAAAAATTAGCCAGGCGTTGGGGCGTGTGCCTGTAGTCCCAGCTACTTGAGAGGCTGAGGTGGGAGAATCGCCTGAGCCCAGGAAGTGGAGGTTGCAGTGAGCCGTGACCACACCACTGCACTCCAGCCTGGGTGACAGAGTAAGACCCTTAGGAGGGAAAGAAGCCACCTTCTTGAGAGGCACAAACAAATAGCCGGATCCTGAACTTTTAATAAGGTATGTCTACACTTGCTGAGAGCACATAAAAGGGATCTGAAATGGAAGAAGGGAAAGAGGCATGGAGGAAAAAACTGCTTTTGTCCCTTGGCTATTTTAAATGAACAGAATAGACCTTGTCAGGTGCATAAAGCACACAGGAGTCCTAGTTAGGCTCTTTAATCTGCAAAAGAGAACCTTAATCTTAAATCTTCTATTTGGTTGATTGTCAAAGCCTTTGGATCATCCTTTGTCTGCAGATTATCTGCATTCTAGGATTTTGTCAAAGATTGCAGCCTTTAATTCTCTGCTGTCCAATTCTTATCTATCTTGGTGAAGTGATGTGACATTTAAGGAGAATTGTCTGGGGAAAACTCCATGCTCTCGATACACGCAGTTTACCTTCATGAGACAGCTGCATACCTAGACCATATTAAAAAATGTCTGAGTAACAATTGTTTCTATTCAATTGTGTTTACTATTATCTCTTAGCTATAATGAGAAACATTTTTAATGCAACTTTTAATGTATTATGCTGGTTATAAGAATTTTATCAAGGATGCCATCTACTGTATCACTCAGCACTCTCTTTTGTAGAACTCATTAAAGAAGTTCCTCTTAGATCTCAATATCAGGATAAATGGTACTTTCTTTTCGTAGATGATGTAAACTTCACCCTGACATATTTCCTTTTTCACACTGACTGCCGTAAAGCTTAGGACAAAATTTGAAGACAGCCTTACAGGGTCACATGATATCTACTTATCTGTGGCTTTATTTTCTTTGTCCCCATATTCTATCCCAGTTACATAGACTCTTTGTTTTATGCCTTTATAATTTGAGAAACTGTCTCAGATCCTTTGTATTATTGAGTAGGCTGTAAATAAATGCAAATACTAAATAAAAACTAAAAGTTGCATTTGAATTTAAAATCATATGAGCACCTTTTTGTTTTAAAATTAAAAACCAACCAGGTACTCCATAATATTTTACTATTTAATTTCTCCCATGATTCTGCATTTGTGTTACTTACTTTGAGTGTGTCTCTGACCTGGGCTCTGATAATAGGACCCAAAATCCCATCTTCTTTCATATTGGGATTCACTGTACGTTTGGTGAAGGACTCATCTTCGTACTGTGTGTACATGACTTTCTTATAAAGTTTTCCAATTTGGTTTGAGAAATTATCCAAATGCTGAGACCTGTATTTTCTTAAAGCGAAATAAAAATTTTAAAAAAAATTAAACCACTTTCTCAAATAGAGATCTCGGTAGGATGGAGAAACCCTCGTGCTTAGACGTTCTGCTCTTACATTAGCTAAAATGCTAGTTCTCTAAAAATTTCTTAGTGTAGCTTGCAAAGTCCTGATGTTTTCTGTCTAGTTGGAAAACTGGAAACTTCTGAGTTGTCTCCTGCATCACTGATAAAAATCATAGGTAACTGGTTAAAAGCAGCTACATAGAGCTTCCTGTCATTCTCATTACTATAGCAGACCTTTGATATCTCTGGGAAAAGGCCTATACTGGCTGGAAAAAATACTAGGAATTTTTCTAAAGTCTCTCCTATCACTTATTCTATGATAGCCTTTTTGGTTTTAAAGGTATTTCTTAAACCCTAAAAGCACCTTCCCACCCCAAGAAACATTTACTAGCATTGTTAATCATAGTTTTGTGCTATTGGGCTATCTCTTCCACCATATAGCCAATCCTTGGAGATGACTGAAAAGCAACCTCCTTCACCCATCTTTGTAGCTACTGGGATAAATACTTTGGGAGCAGCAACATGAACCACTTTTCCCCTGCCAACTTTATTGCCTTAGTTTGCAAAAGCAACTACATGCGGCCAAAAAGCATATTTTTAAAAGCTCAGCATCAGTGATCATTAGAGAAATGCAAATCAAAACCACAATGCGGCCGGGTGCGGTGGCTCACGCTTTAATCCCAGCACTTTGGGAGGCCAAGGCGGGCGGATCACGAGGTCAGGAGATCCAGATCATCCTGGCTAACATGGTGAAACCCTGTCTCTACTAAAAATACAAAAAATTAGCTGGGCCTGGTGGCGGGCACCTGTAGTCCCAGCTACTCGGGAGGGTGAGGAAGGAGAATGGTGTGAACCTGGGAGGCGGAGTCTGCAGTGAGCCGAGATGGCGCCACTGCACTCCAGCCTGGGCGGCAGAGCGAGACTCCGTCTCAAACAAAACAAACAAACAAAAAAACCCACAATGAGATGCCATCTCATGACAGTCAGAATGGCGATGGTTGAAAAGTCAAGAAACAACAGATGCTGGCAAGGTTATGGAGAAAAAGGAACACTTATACACTCTTGGTGGAATGTAAATTAATCCAACCATTGTGGAAGACAGTATGGCAGTTCCTCAAAGACCTAAAGTCAGAAATATCATTTAACCCAGCAATCCTTTAAGATAGAGTATCATTTTATGAATTTATTTTGCCCAGTGGAAAGCACTGACTGTTGCCAAACACTCCTGGATTTCTATCTCAGTTCTGGCACCAATTCTATAATCTTGGCCAAATTTTTTTTTTGTTCTTTTTCCTAGTTTAATTCTTTTTAATAGAAAACACATTCACATAATTTTTATTACAGTGAAAACTCTCACTTTTCTCTGATAACCCTCAATGGACCTCCCTACCCTCCCTGAATTTTCTAGGTAGCCACATATTAATTTCATGTGTATAATTCCAGAATACTTTTATGTACACATATGCAAATATGTCTTAAAATAAGAAACTATAAATATTCTTATCCCTTTCACTCCTTTAACAAAAGGCAGTTATATATACACGCTATACTACATCCTGGCTTTGTAATTTAATAACATAGCTTGGAGAACTTTTTTTGTTAGGACATAGAGAGTGTTTGCATCCTGTTTTTTGATGCCTAGTATTCCATTGTATGAATGTATCATAATTTATTAAACTAGTTTCCTACTGATGGACATTTTGAGTTGTTTCCAGTCTTACTACTACTAACATTGCAACAGTGAATATGTTGTACATACATCATTTCACCTGTGAACAAGTATATCTGTATAGTTAGATTTCCAGAGTGAGACAGCTGAGTCAAAGGGTATATACATTTAGAATTTTGATACATATTGCCAAGTTATTCTTCAGAATCCCTTTACCAATTTAATCTTCCACCAGCAATATATGATAGTTCTTATTTCTCACAGCCTTGTCAACAGATGATGTCATCTGGACTTGTGAATCTGATACATAAAAGTAGTATTCCCATGAAGTTTAAGTTGCATTTCTCTTACTATGAGTGAATTTGAATACCTTTTCAAGGGTTTAAGCACTATTTATTTGAATGTCCAAATCTCTTAATCTCTCTGACCCATTTCATCATCTATAAAAAGAAATAAGAGCCGTGTCTAGTTTGTAGAGTTGAAGTGAAGCTCTCAGAAGGGGATAATACAGTACTTGGCAATGGCGAGCACTCAGCAAGAGGTGGCTGCTGTTGTTATTAGGCTGAATTTCTTTGGTGATTTGGGAGTAACTGAAGATTAATCTTTACAAAAAGACTTGAATAGAAACCAATACATGTGCCCCCTTGAGAGCTGTCAACTTACAACATTTCATCCCCAAACATCTAGGACCCTATGGAATGTATCTTGAACCTTTGCCCAATGGTATGAACCCCAACAACTCACTTGTCCATATTCGCTGGTATTACAGGTGCATAGTCCCAAATGACTTCCTCTGCAGCAATGAAGTATTCCCACCTTTTCATGTGCCGCCTCTGCTCACGAGTTATTTTCTTAGGATTCCTGGTTTTCTTTGGGCAGTTTTTAATGTCAATGTAAGCCTGCATCCCAGCTGAGTTAGGGCAGAAAGAGAACGAAATAACTCGAGAGAAGAAATTATGGTTGATGGAAACACATATCCTTTAAATCAACTTGTATAAGGTTTATATTAATATAATAACAGTGAACGTAATGCTCAGGCAACTTTTGAACATTTTAGTTTGGAACTCTTTCAGTGGCATCCAGAAAAGGCAAGACTTTTAAAAGGGGGAAAAGGAGGAGGGGTTAGGGAAAAAACATGGAAAGGTTCCCTTGATTTCTTCTCAAGCTGGCAAATTTCTTATAATTTTTAACTTCTTAAAATCCTATGAATTATGTCTTGTTAAATTCTCATTTTTTCTGTCATCTGTCCCTTAATCTGTAAAATGAAGATAGCACCAGTACTTAATCAAATTGTTGTTAAATATTAAATATTAATAACAATACATAACGCACTTATCTTCAACAAAGAAACAACAGTTTCATTGTTGTTTTAATATTGTTGGGAACTCTGTCTTCCACGGATGTCGTGATGGTTTTATTATTTTGAATATAATTTTGACTACTGCGTGTGAAAAGAAACAGAAATGATCTCATGAAGTATCTCTTCCTTATGTATGTTTCTTATACATTATTTTGGTAACAAAATGATTTCCTATGGTGATATCATCTCCTTAGATTTTAGTCTCTGTTTATATGAACCTTCCTCTCAACAGTTTTAAAGCAAAAATGTGTAGTAGAACAATCCATTATTCTGTTTACACGATACCACATAACCTGGGTTGATTTATTTTCCCACTTGAATTCACCGGTGTTCTTTGGAGCTTACCCCTCAGCTGTTTATATGCCGTGTATGATCCATTCGACACACATTCATTGAGTTCCTCTCCATGCTAGACTTTGTGTTCATCCCACTGTAAAGGTTAATGTTTTCATGCTAACCTTTTACACTTTCTACAACTTAGTGCTTCTGTAAATTTGCAGTTTATCTTGTGCTAGCATCTAGGTCTTTTTCTCTGGCTGCATATGAAGTAACCCCAAGAAAGAATATCTTTATGTATGCTTTTGTTTCCTTCCTCTTTTCTTCTTTCGAGGAAGTTAGAGATCTCTTCAGCTTTTGCTTAATTTAAAAAAACTTTGTCAATTCCTTCACTTTCTCCATCCCCAAACAGCGAGTTATAAATCTAAGAGCAAAGTACCTAAATTTGGTTGTTAGGAACCAAAGCAAGTTTTTCTGGGGTGCAGGTGGCTTGCAAGGGCAAGGAGAAAGAGAGAGTTAGTGCTGGGAAGAAAGCATTCTGCATTCAGAAGCAAGACTGTCAGGAGAGTTTCTTGCCTTGCAAATGTTTTGGGGTGAGAGAAGATATGATCCACTTTCCCTCTGGGCCCACGGTCATATTTGCGGTAGTGGATGTAGCACTGACAAGGGTGATGGCTGAGACCTTATGATGGTTCTGCTCCAGGACCTGGCCATTGAAATGAATGGAGAACAATTCTGGCCCCGAGCTCATTCCCAGCAGATGCCAGCTGATGTGGTCATGGGCACAAACTGTTATATCTGAGAGAGAGGGAGAGACACAGGCCAAAATAAGCATTCAGTCAAGTATTCTGTGATCAAACATTCACTCACCAAATGTATTGAGCACCTGCTGTGTGTCAGGCATTGAACAAAGCTTCAAGGGAACAGACACTCCAGTTGTAGTTTGTGCCCTGCAAAAGCAGACATCTGAGTGACCAGCAAACAAGCAGTCACAACTCATTGTGATAAATGGCATTATACAGGTAACAACAGAGCCTAGAGATGGCGAGTGTTAACTCAGAAACACAGGGATTGCTAAAGGATTAGGCCAAGAAGGTAACCGACTGTCCTGCTCTGAGGGATTTCTCAAGGTTTAGGACTTTCACTATTAGAACTGGTAAAAAGTCCATGGCAAATGGAATGTTTGGTCACCCCAATCTGATCTCGGCTGGAGGGAGTCAAATCACCGGAACCTCCAATAGGGCTGAGTTCAAGCACTTAATCCTCTCAGCTCTCTAGCTGTAGTGGTCAAAGCTCTGCCGAAGGGAAGAAGATGTGAAGATGATGTGAGGATTTTCAATTGTTATTTTTATTCACTTTTTGATTGTTTTAATGACAAGTCAACAAAATCACTTTGTGGGTTGCATACTCTCCTTAAAATGCAGTGTAAAAGTCTTCATTATGTTGGGCCATTGGGAGCTTTTCATGGAAGGAGTAATGATAACTGAATATAAAAACTTAGTTTTGCTCCTTCTTTGCTCCTACAGTCACTGGGGAAATGCTCATTTGCTCTGTGGGGAGACTCCATCCTTGGCTTTAGGTTTCTGTTTTACATCTCAGATACATAATTACTAGATACTAGAAATCGGGGCTGAGAATCAGTTCCTCACCCACACAAAGGCTTGTCTTTTTTAGGAGACCATTGCAACAAAGCTGGGATTCCTTGCATCACTAGGAGGCTTTGGCAGAAGCATTTATCCATGCCAAATAAATGCTCATATTGAGTTCAGCAATTAACATATCTGTGTTAGCATTTATCGTATGTATTCAATTTATTCTGCTTTATAAGGCAGAGGGTTTTACAAATGTTTACTATTCTTAGTTTCTACTGATGGTCTTTCCCTACCCTGTCCCATTTACCCCCAATTATTCTTTTGGGAACTATAAATTCATAAACTCTAAGCTCAGATCAATTTATTTTTATTTTTGTGCATATGGTTTTGCTTTTTTTGGCCTCCTTATACTTACACAGATTGTTCACTCTGCCAGGAAATAAATATTAGGATAAATAGTTAGTCCACTTTTGTCAGTAAGCACATTGAGACAGCTAATTATCCAGGGCCACAGAAGGTAGAGAAGCGAGTGAGGTCTGAACTCAGGTTATCTAAGGTCGAGGTCAGTTAACTAAGCTTCAGTTTTTACAAGCTCCTAGTACTGGAACTCAGGATCAACACTGAGAGTCATATGAGTATATTTTCAGAAAACCAAGTGGAAAATGTAGTCAAATGAAATAGAATACAATTTAAAAACACTACCCAGATCTCAACTCTTAACAATATTTATGTTTTAGTAAGTGAAGCCATTTGTGATTTTTAGATGGCATTACAGAATAACCTCTAAGAAGTTTAGTGTTTTGAAATATGGTTTATTTAGTAAAGCGGCATTTTAATTTTTTAATGTTTTTCCCTCAGGCTAGTATCATATACCCTGGATCTTTAGTTGTAGGTCAGTTCTACCAGAGAGAAATAGAAGATATGTGGTCTAAGAGGGAGTCAGTTATTTTTTCTCTTAATGATTGCTATGATTTTGCCTTCTCATAAGAGTCCAAATGCAAATGGAAAGAAAATATTCTAGACGCCATTGAATATTACTCTTCTGTCGCCTTTTGAAATGCTGGTCTTTTTTGTGTGTGTGTGTTGGGGATTACTCCTAATCTGTTCATCTTTACTGCAATCTTCCTGCTGACCTTTCCTGCTAGGGCTTGTCCCTGAAGGACATACATAGCAGGAACTGCAGAACTCGGAGAGAGAGACTGAGCTGATACCCTGAAGGTCTTTTTCAAAGTGCAGGCCAAGGTGAAACCTACTCAGGTCACTATACCTAACAAGGCTGCACATTTCTTCTCTAGCTTCTAATTTGTCTCTTCTATTTCCTGTTTTTTAAAGACAGATGAGAAAATATTTCCCTCTTGATAGGGAGTTGTAAAACAGTGAGTATGGTCAACTTCTCTAGTGCTTTGAAGAAAACAACAGGACTGAAAAATTACTAATGATTTTACTGTTGTTCAATGGTGCACAGCCCTCGTGTTACCTGGCATTGTCCCATTCACGTATCCATTGACTGTGTACATTAGGGATGATGACTGGCTCCAGCTCTTGCTTTCATCAAACACAGCAAACAGTAGCACGATTTGCTTGTCAAACGTCTTCTGTTTCCCATCCTCAGTTAGGATCCCTGTAAAAGGAAAGACATGTTTTCAGTAGCACTGCAGACAGAACACTCTCATTAGCTTTCCTGGATAGCAAAGAGTTTAGGGCAAGCGATCAACCATAATGACAGCAACTTGAAGAAATTCTTACTTTTTAAAATAGCATATTAAGTAATAGTGGTTCTAGGGTTATTAAAAATCTGGTGCCACACTGTCTTCTTTGACACCTTGTTGCTTTGGGGAACAGGCTTTATTTCGTCCAGCTTGGGAAGAAAACATTTGATGACTCTCAAGACTCTCTACAAGTATCCATTTCCTCCAGTCTCAACAGAACAGTATATAGATACGTTAGCTCAGTTGGTAAAAGCACCATGCCCCAAGTTTAATGCTGTCATCTTATTTGTATATGAAAGGGGACATTCGATAACTGGTTGGAAGTATCAGCATTAATCCATTCTCACTATGAGAAAAACATGCTGCTGATGGTAAAATGAAAGAAGAGTCTTTCGTAAGTCTTAAGGTTTTTTTCAGTACCATCACAGTATCTTATATATACTAGGAAATGAAAAACAAGTATTTGTATAATGAGTAAATACATTGGGAAGCTATGTAGGTGTGGTCTGAGTGTATGTATAGGCAGATGGTGAGTCCATCACGTTGTTTCCCGTGCTGTGGCTCGCTGTGGTTGTTTGCTTGTTTTAATGAAAGATGGGCTGGATTCTCATGGGATAAAATGAAAATCCAATCTTGCTCCTAAGAAGCCCAGCCAATAAAATTTCTTGTAGTCATTTGAGTGTGTTTGAAACCTACCACTCAAAGTGTTCAACTTGTTTGTAAGAAAGGAAGCTGGCATTTAACATGTTTATAGAACAAATTACCAGCCCAAATTTTGGATATGTCAAATATGTTAGCCAATATTCTTTCCAAGAGCTCTTTAAGCAGAGTATAGGCTGCTGTATACTTTCTAAAAGACTTTGGCCTTGAGGTAAATGTCACAGATCATATAAGCATGACATCAGAACACACTCTCAAACAGGAATTTGCTTGGGAGAATCTTAAGGACTGAGATGAAGGAGAAATGAGAAGAAACAGAGGTGGATCCACACCCTGAAATAGCAGGTATATTTTTCTCTTGTCAAACAATGATCCGTGCCCTCTTCCTCTGCTTGATGTACATGAAGTTACCGAGATGTTCCCAAGCTTTGTCCCATGACAGAACTCCTGACCATTCCAACATTTCGTTGTTGAAACTTTTGGTGGGAGTGTTCTTACCTTTTTTACAGATAAGCAGGGGCCCAATCAGTCCAGAGTTGAAATCCTCGATTAGATTTTCATGGGAGTAATAGATGTGTGTGAGGCATGGAGGGTCATCATGGGTGGGCCCGCTGTCCTCACTGATACTCCATTCATAGGTGTATTCTCGGCCTGGAGCCACAGCATCATCCATCTGCTCCACAGGGAAAGTGTGGTCAAGGTAAGAAGCACCTGGAGGAGTAAGAGCCATCAAGACATGTGGGCAGTTTCTGAGGATTGCATTTTCACCACTCTCAAATCTGGGGATAGCTAAGATGAGCACTCTGGGGATGCATATGTCCTTCAATAGTGAACTTTTATTATTTGGAAAGATTCACGTATGCCCGTTTCTATGCTCATGTAGTTACAAAGGCTTTGCTACCATGGTGATCTTAAGAATAACAAATGTTATTTGTAAATTAAAGATAAGCAAGTTAATTTTCCAGGGTACCTGAACAATTATTATTTAAATATTATCAGAGAATTGAATCACCTTTGATCAGTAAAACATCTCAGAATATAAGAATGGGTGATATCTTCTTTGTGGTGTTTAACAAGACATACTTAGCCTATTAACATGAGATGGGAGGATAGTCAGAGTTGTTTATATATTGTTTTGTTTTGTTATTTCAGATCTTCTTTCCGACTGCTGTGACCCTCAGCTCTGTTTTATCTCTTTATTTCATCTTAGCTATCTGATTATCTCAATTTTTTCCCCCGAGCCACAGCGTCTAACTCCCATATGCAGACTTGTTGTTTGTATGAATATGAAATGTGTCCATCCTCTGAAACTTACAAGTCTTACTTTGTACTTTGTGCCCCCAAAGACCCATCATTAACACCTCCATGTATACTGGACTTTCCCTACTGATAGGAGAGGGAGAGGATGAAGAAATTGGTCTTCCTTACTGAAGACAGGGAACTGAGATGCTCAATATTAAAAGAAGTGTAGAGGGTTGAGTGAGGTTTTCAATAATAAAACAGAGCAAGTGAGGTCAGGAAGGAGAGAGGTGAGTGCCATAGATCACCAAGTGGAATGGACAGTTTCCTCTGCCTGAGGAATTCCTCATTTAATTAGGTGAAAGATTCCCTATCATCAGCTGGTGCCAGAATTTCTCTTTGGGATACAGTTATTTTTGTTTGGTACGATAACTTGATAAATTCTTTAAAGGAAGAAGGTGAGAACATCAGTGTGGATATAGGCAGACAACAAGGATCTGGGGAAAAAAAACAAACAAAAAACGCCTGAAATGTTTTACATGATGGTGTAAAAGGCCAATAAAAACTACTCTTACTGAAGCAACTATAATTTTTAAAAACTGAAATGATTAATCCTTTCCTTGCCTTCCCTCCCCTTCCTTTCTCTTCCCTTTCTTTTCTTTTTACTTTCCTAGTTTCTTTTCTTTCTCCTTTCTTCCTTTCTTTGTCTTCTTCCTTCCCTCTTCCCCATTCTCCTTCCCTCTTTTCTTCCTTTCATTATCTTTATTGAGGTATAATTTGCATATGATAACATTTACCAGTTTTAAGTATAATATTTGCTGAGCTTTGATTTAAAAAATTACACAGTCTTATAGCTATAGTCCCAATCAAGATAGAGAAGAGTTCCATCATTCCAAAACATTTCCTCATGCCATTTGTAGCCAATGCCCTCCGGGCCCAGACAACCACTAATCTGCTTTATTTCACTGTGATTTGGCTTTTCTGTAATGTCATATCAATGGAATCATCATTATATACCCTTTTGTGTTGGATTAGTGTTAACTGGTATGGTATATAATTTTCTATCCTTTATTTTTTACCTATCTTTGTCTCTCTCATTTAAAGTGGATTTCTTAAATTCTGCATACTGTTTAGCATTCCTTTTTATTTAATCTTATTTGTTTCTTACTTGTAGTGTTCTTTCCATTTGCTTTTAATGTAATTGATTATATAGTTGGATTTAATTTATTTTCTATTTGTCTACCTGGTCTTTATTCCTTTTCCCCTTCCTTTCTATTTTCTTTTGGATTGAGTATATTTAATGATGTTTAATCTCCATTGTTGACTTATTAGCTTTGTTTTCTTAGTGCTGCCCTTCAGTTTACAATATATAATACATTTTTAACTTGTTACAGACTTCCTTCAAATAATATTATACTATTTCACTTGTAAGAACTTTGCAATGCTATATTTCCATTTCTTCCCTCCTATCCTTTGTGCTATTGTCATACATTTTATTTATATATACATAATATGCCCCACAATTAATTGTTACTATTTTTGCTTTAACGTTTAGATAATCAATTGCCTTTTTAATAGATTAAAATGAGAAAAAAATTTATCTATATTTATCAACTTCTGGAACTTTTCATTCCTTCTTATGAATCTAAATGTCTCTCTGATATAATATTTCTTCTATCTAAAGGAGTTCCTTTAGCATTTTTTTTCAGCTGTACTAGTGAGAAATTATTTCTGCATTTGTATGTCTAAAGCACTCTTCATTTTGCTTTCATGTTAAAAAGGTTTTTTTGCTTGGTATAGAATACTAAATAGACAGATTCCCCTATCCTCCACCCTCCCAACACTTTAAAGATGTCCCTAATTGTCTTCTGGTTTGCATAGTTTCTAATGATAAGTCTGCTATCATTTCTTCATTTTGTTCCCCTGTATATGATGTGTCTTTTTATCTCTCACTGCTTCTAATATTTTCTCTTTATCACTGGTTTCCAGCAACTTGATTGTGATGTGGCTTGATGTGGTTTTCTTCATGTTCCTTCTTAGTTTTGTCAAACCTCTTGAATCTGTTGGTTTGTAGTTTTCATTACATTTGGGCAGTTTTCAGTCATTATTTCTTCAAATACTTTTTCTGTTCCTGCTACTTCTGAGATCCAATTACACATATGTTAGATCACTTGATATGGTCCCACAGTTCACTGATGCTCTGTTCACTTTCTTCAACCTTTTTACTCTCCATATTTCATTTTGCACAGTTTCTATTGCGATGTGTTAATATTTTCTACCATTTCCTTTCACAGTGTCTAATGTGCTATTAATTTCATTCAGTGTTTGTTGTATTAGTGTTGTCCTTCAGTTTACAATATATAATTTTTTATCCTTTATTTTTTACCTTTATTTTCTATCCTTTATTGTTTTACTTTTCATGTCAGCAATTGTATTCATCTACAGAAGTTCTGTGTATGCATATTTATATTCTCTATCTCTTCATCATGCTCATGCTTTTCTCTGTTTTCTGGAACATATTGGGAAGATTTATGATAGCTGTCCTACTGTCTCTGCCTGCTGCTTCTATTTTCTCTTTCACTTCTAAATCTGTTTTTTCTTGGTTATGAGTCATCTCTTTCTGCTTCTTCTAATACTTGTTTATTTTTATTAACATTGTGAATTTACATTGTTGTTTGTTGCATTCTTGTTAACTAGTATTGAGTTTTATTCACAGTTAAGATACTTGAAATCAACTTGATTCTTTCAAATCTTATTTTTTATTCCATTGCCTCCTCAGCAGCCTGTAGTCTAATTTTATCCACCTACTCTTTCTAAATCCTTCTGAGAATTCTATCCACTGCTCATTTATTAGGAAGTCTTTCTGTGTTTGATGGTAGAAACATAAATGGTTACTGGCCCTGCGTAAGGTCCAGGGACTGTTCCAACTGTTCCTTTCAAATGACATTTTTCTTACCCTCAGTACTTTCCTCACATGTATGTGCAGATCAGTATTCAACTTGACAAAACCTCTCTGTAGATTCTCAAGAGCTCTTTCTCTGTGATTATACTGTCCTCTCCAGGACTCTGCCCTACAAATCACAAATTCAGTCACTTAGGCTTCTCTGAAGTCCAAACTCTGTTTCCTCACCCATAGAGACTCTATCTGGGTTCTCCCTGCTTGTGCTGTTCCCTGGAAACTCTCTTCAGGCAGTAAGCTTAGGCACTCATAGGGCACACCTGGTTTGTTATTCTTCTTTCACTGTCTTGAGTTGTCTGTCATTTGATGTCTGAAAACTTCTGTTTTATATGTTTTGTCTGCCTATCTAGTTGTTAAGAAAAAAGGTAAATCTGGTTCCTTATGTTCAGAAGCCAAAGTCTGAGATGCTAAATTTCCATATAAAATATTTTTTACATTTCAGCAATGTCAGCTTCTCTTCTTTAACTGTACCTTTCCCCATCCCAACTGTGGAAAATCTATTCCACTCAAAACACCTTGCATGAGTTTTCATGGCATCAGCATATGTTTGGATTCTCCAGGTGGGAGTGGAAAATAAGGCACATCCATTCATTAGCAATGAAGGATTCAGGTACTACAGTGATGTGCAATGTACCTCATGAGGTTCTGAGCATGGAAACCATAAGTTGAATAGGTATATCTAGATTTACTTCTTGCATAAAGTCTTTAATGTGGACCACAAGTCCATGTATGATTTACCTCTACTTCTCTCTTCAGTCTTATCATATGTCTTTTCCCTTGTTAACTGTGGGCTCCTTGTCCCCTGGGTCCTCTGTCAGTTCCCCAGACATCCAACTTCTATCCTACCTCAGGGTCTTTGCAGATGCCATTCCCTCTGCCTAGAATGCTCTTCCTCCCGTCTTCCTTTTGATAAGTATGTGTTCATCCTTCAGACGTCACCTTGAATATCAGTTCACTTCTACCTTTATCTCCAATTCTGATACACATTATTTTCCTTCTACATCACTCATCACAATTTGTAATTAAATGCCTGTGAGATTACATGACTAATTCCATTTTCTTCTACTAGATCATAAGTATTTGTGTCCTGCACATTTTGGTCACTCAAGTGTGAGCTCCTCAAGGAAAACTGCTGGATTGTATTTATCTTAGTGTCTCTGGTACCTTCCATAGGTACCTGGAGGAGCATGGAACATGAACATGAAGAAGATGCTCAGTGAATATTTATTAAACTTCTAAAATGTAAGGTCCTATGGGCTAGAGCCTAGGTCAACAAGTCAAAGCTCATGGCTGTGTGTTGTTAGGATTGCATAATGTTAAAATAGATTAAATGCCAACATTTAAAATCTGGAGTAATTATATAAGAATCTGGTTTCTCTCTAAAAAACAAAAACCTGGAGATCTGGTTAACAACAGGACCAAACTCCTGCACAGAATTTGGTTGGACCTGGATCTTAGCTGCCCTCTTCTGCTTTTTGATTATCAGTCCTTACTGGACCAATTTTGTTCACTG